TTACTGAGAAAAAGATGGGTCTCCTTTCATTCGTGAGACCGTCACTGGTTGAGTGTCCGTCGTGTCCAAGTCCCAGGACACGGTGTTCTGGCCTCGAGGGAGTGGCGCTCTGGTGAGGTGGGGCAGCAGTCCCTGTCTCACCACAGCAAATGGCCTGCGGCAGCTCGCTGGGCAAGCCAGGAGGCCCCAGAGCTTCCTGGAGGCTCAACATCCAAGGTCACTGGTTTGGCCTCGGGAGAGGCCCCAGCACTGGACGGAGTTGCAATGGCAGGTGCACAGGTAGGGGAAGAGAGTCAGCAATGCTGGGGTCTAACCCCTCCCAAAGGGCAGCTCCCCTGGTGACCCAAAGACCTCCCACTAGGCCCCACCTCTTAAAGGGTTCACCGCCTCCCACAGTGGGGACTCCGTTCCAATGCACGAACCTCTGGGAAGCGCCCTTAAACCGTCTCCAGCCATAGCAGGTGCAGGAGATAACAGACAAGATACTGAGTATTCCAGATGCGGAAACGCGTGTGGCAAACAAGAAAGCGAAGGAGGGTTGAGAGGGCCAGCGGACGTGCTGGGCAGCACTGGCATCTCACGCGCGGGGACTGAGGAGGGCCATTCCTAGAAGTGACATCTGAGCCCAGAGTGGAAGACAGTGAGACAGCCACCCGGTTTCCTTTCTGCAGAAAGATCACGCCAAGTGGTCAAGGCCGTAATTACAGAGAACCGAGCAGAAATGTGCTGGCTGTTGTTCAAGGGACAATAAGAAGTTCTAGGGGGCAGCGCTGTGGCGCAGTAGGTTAATCCTCCGCCAGCGGCACCGGCATCCCCTATGGGCGCCGGTTCTAGACCCGGCTGCTCCACTTCTGATCCAGCTCCCTGCTGTGGCCTGGGAAAGCAGTAGGAGATGGCCCAAGTCCCTGGGCCCCTGCACCTGGGTGGGAGACCTGGCTCCTGGCTCCTGGCTCCTGGCTTCGATTGGCTCAGTTCCAGCCGTTGTGGCCATTTGGGGAGTGCACCAGCGGATGGAAGACCCCCCCCCCCTTCTTCTCCTCTCTCTGTGTAACTCTGACTTTCAAATAAATAAATACATATTTTTTTTTAAAAAAGAAAATATATCATAGTGGAGAAAGTACGGAAGTAGGAGAGGGGAAGCTGCAAGGGTTCTTCACAGAGTTCATGGAAAACGTGAGATTAAAAGGGAAGTTCATTCTGGTGCAAAACATTTTTTATATCCGTGCATAATACTCTGCATTTTTCGTGAACGTCCAAAGACCCTTGGTAGATAGGAGAGTAGTCCCCGAGTCCTGGGTAGAAATGGTGCACGAGACAAAGATTGTTTGGATTTTTCATACACTCTGAAGGTAAATCCGTGGGGTTTGTTCAGAGCTTGGGTGGAAGGGCGACTAAAGGAAAGTAGAGGACTTCCAGGATTCTGGTCTAGGCAGCTGAAGCGTGGTGCTGCCAGTTACTGGAAGGAAGAAGACTGGGACTGGAGTGGGTTGGGGCAGCACTTGCCGTGGGAAGCTCTGGAACTGCGTGTCGGCGTTAAGTCTGAGACGACTGAAACCCAGTGCAGGTGCCCAGGAGGTGTTGGACATCACAGTCTGGGGACCAAGGGAGCGGGCAGGACACGGACGCTGTTTAAACCCATGGGACTGGACGACTCCACTGAGGATGAACACGGAGAAGAGAAGAGGTTTGAGGGCTGGCTCTTGGGCCACTCCCCTGCTGGGAGTCAGATGCGGGAGATAATCAAGTGAGAGGAAACCCGAGAATTGACCACTGCACAGGAACAGGCTCCGGAGGGAGTAAGAGGAAGCAGGATGAGTAGCATCCAGAGCGTGTGTTCTGAGGGGTTTTGCTTTAAGTAGGGGACAGAGAAAGAAGGCAGAGATGAAGGAAGAGGTGAAGTCGAAAGAGAGTAGTTGGATTGATTTTGTTTTAAAGATTATTTATTTGAAAGGCAGAGACGTGGGGGGAGGGAGAGAGAGAGAGAGAGAGAGAGAGAGAGAGAGAGAGGTCTCCTATCCGCTGGTTCACTCCCCAAGTGGCCGCAACGGCTGGAGCTATGCCGATCAGGAGCCAGGAGCTTCTTCCAGGTCTCCCACGTGGGTGCAGGGACCCAAGGACTTGGGCCATCTTCTGCTGCTTTCCCAGCCACAGCAGAGAGCTGGATGGGAAGTGGAGCAGCCGGGACTCGAACTGGCGCCCATATGGCATGCCGGCACTGCAGGCACAGCTCTACCCTCTGTGCCACAGCGCCGGCTCCAAGGATTGGTTTTTAACACAAGAATGAAAGGATAAACTGAAGAGAGTGCTTGTCCGCTGTTCTGGGCTGCCCCTAGCCTTCCTGACCACTGAGTACTGCCCTTCACAGTCCTCGGTCCAGGCCCTTTGTCTTCCCCCTCTGCGTTCTTCCTTGGATTGGTCTGTTGGTTCCCATGGCTGGTACCAACCACTCTCAACTTGTGGTCTCCAGCTGAATGCTGTCTCAAGTTTTAGCTCTTTGGGTCCAGCTGCCTGCTCAGCGCCTCACTTGGACTGTGTCTGTGGTCCCCCAGCACCTGCTCCTCCTCCAGGGCCCTGCCTCAGAGAACGGCCCGCCCTCCACCCAGCTGCACACTTGGAATCTAACTGATCCTCCACAGACCCTCCAAGTGCTATGGGAGACCCCCTCAGTGTCCCACTTCTCTCCACTCCCCGCCCTCCAGCTAAACCACCTCTTGCCTGCACACCTGTGGTAGCCTCCATCTCTCCCTTCAGCTCTTCCTCCCCACCATTGCTTCTCCAGGCAACAAAAGCAAATGTAACACTGTTACTTCACTGCTTCAAAACATTTCAGTGGTCCCCTCCCTCTCCCCTCCCTCCCTCCTTCCCCCCTCCCATCTCTCCCTCCCCTCCCTTCCCCCTTTACTCCTTCCTTTCCCTCCCCCTCTCCTTCCTCCCTCCCTCCCTCCTTTCCTTCCCTCCTCTCCCTCCCTCCTCTTTCTCCCTTCCCTCCCCCTCTCTTCTTCCTCCCTCCCTCCTCCTTCTTCCCCTCCCTCCCTCTCTCCTTTCCTCCTCCTTCCTCCTTTCCTCTCTCCTCTCCCTCCCTTCCCTCCCCCTCCCTCCTTTCCTCTCCCTCCTTCCTTCCCTCCCCCTCCCTCCCTCCCTCCTTCCCTCCCATCCCTCCCCTCCCTCCCTTCCCTCCCCCTCCTTTCCTCCTTCCTTCCCCCTCCCCCACCCCTCCCTTCTTCCTCCCTCCCTTCCTGCTTCCCTTCCTCCTTTCCTTGCCCCCGCCCCACCTCTGTCCCTCATCCAACACGTGATGCACGGATTTGGCCTCTGTGCTACTCAGTCCCGGGAGACCAGGATCTGCACTCAGGACTGGAGCTTAGGCTCAGGGACTCGTCCCAAGTGGAAGCTGCCAGGCGCTTTCTCCACTGAGCATTTCATCTGAAAGCTGATGGTGGAGGTATTTTTAAATTTAATTTCTTTTTTCTGATACTTAAATATATCCTGATGTGAAGCATTTTCTGTCTGTGTAGATGGCATGCACATGACTACTAAAGATAACTGATAATGTTGCAGATCTATTTTTTTTTTTTTTTTGACAGGCAGAGTGGATAGTGAGAGAGAGACAGAGAGAAAGGTCTTCCTTTTGCCTTTGGTTCACCCTCCAATGGCCGCCACGGCCGGCACGCTGCAACCGGCGCACCGCGCTGATCTGATGGCAGGAGCCAGGTGCTTATCCTGGTCTCCCATGCGGGTGCAGGGCCCAAGCACTTGGGCCATCCTCCACTGCACTCCCGGGCCACAGCAGAGAGCTGGACCGGAAGAGGGGCAACCGGGACAGAATCCGGCGCCCCGACTGGGACTAGAACCCGGTGTGCCGGCGCCACAGGCGGAGGATTAGCCTATTGAGCCGCAGCACCGGCCAAAGATCTATTTTTAAAAATTTATTTATTTGAGAGGCATAGAGACTTACACACAGACACACTGAGAGAGAGATGGGGGACAGGAGAGAGAGGGCTCTCATCTACTGCTTTGCTCCCCAGATGTCCACAGTGGTCGGGGCTGGGCTGAGTCTGAGCCCAGGAGCCAAGAACTCAATGCGGGTCTTCCGCAGTGTGTCAGGGGCCCAGCTACGTGAGCTGTCACCGCGGCCTCCCAAGCAGCACGTTAGCAGGAAGCTGGAACCGGAAGGCCCAGCCAGGACCGAATCCTGGCACTCTGAGGTGGGAGGCAGGTGCCTTAACAGTGTCTTAACGGCTGGACCAATGCCCCCTCCAAAAGTACGGATTTCTTGAAAGAGCGTTTCAGTCCTGAGACCACACCCTGTTTCTCTCCCTAGGATCAGACCCTGGGCTGGTTCACAGCGGGTCTCCCGGAGGTCCTGCCAGCAGGCAGGCAGGTCTTGGGCTCCCTCACCGTGGACCCGCATGGGAGCTCTGACAGCCGTACGCGTTTAACCGGGACAATGATTTTGCCTTTCTTTCCTTCAGCTAGCTTGGCTGGGTGAGCTTCCTGCGATACCGGTGTTTGGGGACGGAACAAATGTCATCCCAACAATTCACGTCCTTGACCTAGCAGGGTAAGCGTTCTCCCAGAAGTAGAGCTTCCCTCCGTTGAGGAGCTAACCCGGATGGAGCATTCACCCTGTGCTAAAGCCCTTGCTCTTCCCAGCAGCCTGTGCAGGGGGCGCCACTGTTTTCATTTTCCACCGGATGAGATACTGCCCGCCCTCTAACAGCTCTGCAGCGTTTCTGATGAAAATTCGGGCTCATCCCGTAGAAGCATCCTCTGCAGGACCGCACGCCCTCCGGTTGCGGAGGATAGCTTGGTGTGTGCGTCCTGGGGATGTGGTCTCACGTTCCTTGTCTCCGATGAGATTGATATGCACAGCCTTGCGGTGCAGACTGTAGAGACCCCAGGACGAGCTCCACACCGAGGCTCCTCTTCCTGCAGTGGGCTTCACGTCCCAGGGTGCACAGGGCTCCCACCCCTTTCTCCTGACTTAAACCCCAGGTCTGTGAGCAGGTTCAGGAGCCCGCCTCCCTGTGTCCCTCCCCCAGGAGGGACGGCGCAGTGCCTGCCCCTCCGTGATATTCTGGATTCCAGTTTCCCACTCACCTGCTTGTCCGCCAGCCATGGATTTAGTCAAGATCCTGGATGGATTTAAACAGTTACCAGGAAACAAATGAAGCTTAAACCTACGGGCCACGCCCACGCGCGGGTCTCTTTCAAGGCCCCGCACTTATTGTACTGTTGTCCTTGAAGAAAGATGTCCTGGATTATGTAAGCTCCACCCCCACAAAGCCCAGGTCTGCTCCAGTGAACGCTAACTCTGGAAGAGTGAAATGACACCGTCTTTCTACAGAGGTTGTACAGCTCACATTGCCAGGGTTTTTTTTTTTTTTTTTAAATAACTTATTTTTAAAGGGAAAGAGAGAGAGAGAGAGAGATCTTCCATTTGTTCGTTCACTCCCCAGATGGCTGCAACAGAAAGGGCTGGGCCAAGTTGAAGCCAAGAGCCAGGAACTCTATTCGAATCTCCCACGTGGGTGCAGGGGCCCAAGCACTTGGGACGTCTCCCACTGCTTTCCCAGGCACGTTAACAGGGAGCTGGATTGGAAGTGGAGCAACCAAGACTCAAATGAGCTGCTGGAGCTGCAGGCAGTGGTTTTACCCACTGTGCCACAATGCCAGCCCAGTGTTGTCAAAGAGGGGCTGGTGCTGCCATGTAGTGGGTGGGGCCGCCACCTGCCGTGCCAGCATCCCACGCGGGTGCCAGTCCGAATCCTGGCTGCTCTACTTCCAATCCAGCTCTCTCCTAAGGCCTGGGAAAGCTGTAAAAGAAGGCCCAGGTCCTTGGGCCCCTGCACCAATGTGGGAGACCTGGAAGAAGCTCCAAGCTCCTAGCTTCAGATCAGCGCAGCTCTGGCCATTTTGGCTAATTGGAGAGTGAACTAGTGGATGAAAGACCTCTCTTTCTGCCTCTTCTCTCTCTGTGTAACTCTAACTTTCAAATAAATAAATAAATCTTTTTTAAAAAGAGAGAGATGTCAAAGAGACTTTTACATTACTAAGCCTTAGTCCTAACATCTTAGTCACAAACAGATAAACCAGAGAGTCAAATCACTCCCATTACAGAAGGGTTTGGGGCCCCTTCAAGTCACAATTGTTCCCTAGCGGTTTCTTTGAAGATGGTCCAGTGTTTAACATGGGAAGGAGTCAGAAAGTTGAAATATTCAGAGAAAATAATACAAAATAAACGTGGACTGGGCTTTTGGATTGTTTGCTTTAGTCGCATTTTACTGAAAAGGAAACTAAAACAGGTTTAGAGCTGACAGGCGCCTGGGATGGACTTGTGTTCACTGTTGTTTCTCTGGAACTGCCTAAGTTGTGCCCAGGTCTCTGCTCAGCCTCCCAGCAGCTGTGTGAGTGTGGGGAGGTCACTCACCCTCTCTGTGAGGTCAAGACGGTGGTAGCAGCTGTGGCACGGGTGGTTGGGAGGGCTCAGTATCATTGATTACACTTAGACACCTTGGTGATCATGGCTTAGACATGGTGATCATGGCTTAGACACCTTGGTGATCATGGCTTAGACACCTTGGTGATCATGGCTTAGACATGGTGATCATGGCTTAGACACGTTGGTGATCAAGGCTTAGACACGTTGGTGATCATGGCTTAGACACCTTGGTGATCATGGCTTAGACATGGTGATCATGGCTTAGACACCTTGGTGATCATGGCTTAGACATGGTGATCATGGCTTAGACACCTTGGTGATCATGGCTTAGACATGGTGATCATGGCTTAGACACCTTGGTGATCATGGCTTAGACACGTTGGTGATCAAGGCTTAGACACGTTGGTGATCATGGCTTAGACATGGTGATCATGGCTTAGACACCTTGGTGATCATGGCTTAGACATGGTGATCATGGCTTAGACACGTTGGTGATCATGGCTTAGACACCTTGGTGATCATGGCTTAGACACCTTGGTGATCATGGCTTAGACATGGTGATCATGGCTTAGACACCTTGGTGATCATGGCTTAGACATGGTGATCATGGCTTAGACATGGTGATCATGGCTTAGACACCTTGGTGATCATGGCTTAGACACAGTGATCATGGCTTAGACACCTTGGTGATCATGGCTTAGACACGTTGGTGATCATGGCTTAGACACCTTGGTGATCATGGCTTAGACATGGTGATCATGGCTTAGACACGTTGGTGATCATGGCTTAGACATGGTGATCATGGCTTAGACACGTTGGTGATCAAGGCTTAGACACGTTGGTGATCATGGCTTAGACACCTTGGTGATCATGGCTTAGACACGTTGGTGATCATGGATTAGACACGTTGGTGATCATGGCTTAGACACCTTGGTGATCATGGCTTAGACACATTGGTGATCATGGCTTAGACACAGTGATCATGGCTTAGACACATTGGTGATCATGGCTTAGACACGTTGGTGATCATGGCTTAGACACGTTGGTGATCATGGCTTCCAAGAAGGAAGTCCTGGGCCCCGCTGCTGTGTTGCTGTATGGCCACAGTGTCTCGGAATCTGAGTCTCACTTTGTAAGACTTCCACCCCAAAGCACCACTGGGACCCTCTGACGAGCCATGGGTGGGCAGAGGCTTCAGAAACTGAAGTCCTGGGGGTCTGTGCCTCCTGGTGGGAGGCAGTGCACTCTGTCAGGGAGGGGGCGAGGCTCAGAGCCAGACGGACGCCCCCTCAAGTGCTGACTCCTGTGCTTCCCTGTAGCCCCTCAGCCTGAGAAATGGCATTTAACCCTTTAGCACCTTCCCCATCTGCGGAGTGCAGATAATAACCCCAACCCTGTCCAAGGTGAGCTAACTCATTAAACCCCCCAGTATGGTGCATGGCCCCTGGGAGTGGCGTTTGGTAAATTCTAGTGTACTCCATCTCTTGCTTTTTTCTCCTCCGGTGATTATTTTCCTGCTCGTCTGCAGAGTGATACAAAACATAATTGACCACGTGCCAAAGATTCACTACCTGGTTGCTGTGGATGAGTCTGTTCACACCCTGGAAGACATAGTCAAGGTACGGTGGTTTCATCCCATAGGCTGACGGCGCTCCTCCCTCCCAGTAGAGTTCTACTATCATGTGCACCTGCCAGCCAAGGGACTCCTGCAATAGAACACCCTCAACACCCACATCTGCTCTCTGTGTTTGCAGCGTATGTGTTGGGAGAGTCCTGCCAGAATGGCCTTGGTCCAGCGTGTGCGTGAAAGGAAACAGGGAAGGAAATAGGGATTGTGGCACCCAGACATGCGCAGATCAGATGCAGGAATTTGAGGATAGGTCTTGAGGTGCTGGGCTCAAAGGGTTCATCTGATTAGGTCACCAGGTCTTCTGACCCTTCCAGGCCTCTGAGGGCTCCCTCTGCCACCCAGGCCGCTCTGGCTAAAGCCGCCACCTGCTAGCCCAGCTGGCCCAGGCAGCACAGCCTTCTCCGGACTTTCCCACGGCCGCTTCCTACTCATCTTGAAGATTCGGCTTGGATCTCTTCCCCTGCATCCTCCCTCACAGGACAGGTGCCTCCCTTCCATACTCCCAGAGCACCTTGGTCCATTCAGGCTGCTCTAGTAGCATGCACAACCTGGGCAGCTTCTACATAATAATAAATTACTGTTCGCGGGTCTGGAGGGTGGTAAGTCCAAGTCCGAGGCGCCGGCTTGTCCAGTGTCTGTTGAAGACCCGCTCTCCGCCTTCCTGGACGTTGCTTTCTTGCCATGTCTTCCCGTGATGGAAGGAGCCTAGGAGTTTTCTTGGGCTTCCTTTTCGAAGAAACTTTGTAAATTGTATTATTTATGTTTATTTTATGTGAAAGGCAGAGAGACAGACAGACAGACAGAGATCTTCCATCTACTGTTTTACTCCCCAGATGTTCACAACAGCCTGGGATGGGCCAGGCTGAAGCCAGGAGCCGGGAACTATGTCCGACTCCATCACACGGAAGGCAGGGACCCAAGTGCTTGACCCACACCTGCCAACTGCAGTGCACATTAGCAGGAAGCTGGAATCGGAGGCAGAGATGGGACAAGAAACCAAGCACTGGGGCCCGTGTTGTGGCGCAGCAGGTTAAGTCACTGCTGTGACTCTGGTGTTGCACATCAGAGCGCCGCTTCCAGTCCCAGCTACTTTGCTTCCAGTCCAGCTTCTTCCCTAATGCTGTATTGTGGGTGTGTGGGTGTGTGTGTGTGTTCAGTTACATTCACATTCATTGGAGAAGTTTATACAAATCCTTACAATTAAACCAAACATCTCTCCCCTACCAGTGCATCAGTAAGAGTACTGGCCCTGGGAAAATCCAGAAACTACCCAAAGAAAACGCTTTCCTAACCAAGGACTTAACAGTGAGTATGTGTGAGGTTGTCTCCCCGGCTCTCTCTCTCTTTTAAAAAGCTGTTTCCTAAAGGCTATGGATTCTGGGGGGGGTTGGAGCCTCAATGCCTGGCTTCCTATCCATCTTCAGCTCCCCCCACCACCAGCATCCTCAGGGGTCCCAGTCACGAGAGTATCTGGAAGCTCCCTGATGAGCAGAGTGCGGTCTGATGCCTCTTGCACCGCCTCCGGCTCCGTCACGGCAAAGCACTTGGCAGGTCCAGTTGCACCGCGCTCTCTGACGCTTGCTTTGCATTTTTATCTAACTTTATTTATTTGCTTATTTGAAAACAGATATACAAACAGAGACAGACACAGCGCTGAACAGAGATCTTACATCCTCTGGTTCACTCCCTAAATGCCCGCAAAGTCAGGAGCCCAGGACTCAACCTGGGCCTCCCACGTGGGTGCCAGGGGCCCAAGAACTTGAGCCATCATGTGCTGCTCTCCAGGGAAACTGGAATTGAAAGCAGAACCAGGGTTTGAACTGCTACACCAAACACTAGACCTTAAACTTGCTCTAGGAAGGAATTATCTTTTTTTTTTTTTTTGTTCGCGTTGACAGGCAGAGTGGACAGTGAGAGAGAGAGACAGAGAGAAAGGTCTTCCTTTTGCCATTGGTTCACCCTCCAATGGCCGCTGCGGCTGGCGCACCGCGATGATCTGAAGGCAGGAGCCAGGTGCTTCTCCTGGTCTCCCATGGGGTGCAGGGCCCAAGCACTTGGGCCATCCTCCACTGCCCTCCCGGGCCACAGCAGAGAGCTGGCCTGGAAGAGGGGCAACCTGGACAGAATCTGGCGCCCCAACCGGGACTAGAACCTGGTGTTCCAGCGCTGCAGGCAGAGGATTAGCCTATAGAGCTGTGGCGCCGGCCGGATGGAATTATCTTAAAGAATAAATCAAATATAAACACTGTATTGAATATTTTCCCAGAAGGATGGTGTCATTGTTTACCTTGGAGAGCAGAACAGAGTTTGAGATAAGAGGGAATTCCTCCACACTTATTGTTCTTTTGGATTTTGAACCATGGGACTCACGATGCAGACAGGTAGATGCAATAAAACAATATTTTTTTAAAAACTTTATAGTTGGACTTCCTGCCAACGTCTTCCTATTCAAGCTGCTTGTCCAACTGCAACAGGCTGCTTCCTGACCAGGAGTGCTTAGAAGTCTCCTAGTGTCAACACAGGGGCTCTGTAGACACTTAGTGCTGGGTTAATTGACTTTTATTTTTAGTGACTGTCTATTGGGTCTATACAGACATAGAAGTCTGATTACTGCTTTAAAAATCAGCTTATTTATTTGAAAGGCAGTTATTCGTTAATAACCGTAACAATTTGTAGCTGGCAACATGCAGCAAAAAAAGCCGAATGTCTACTTTTCCTTTGTCTCTTAGCAAGAGTGCCTGGACCACCTGCTGGTCCACTTGAGAATGGAAGCTCTGTTCGTGAAGGAGAATTTTAACATCCGCTGGGTCGCCCAGGCAGGGATTGTGGAAAATATCAGTGCTGTCCTCAGAGAGTACAAGCAGAGCAGAGGACTCCTGGTAACTATGACCATTTTCTGTTTAAACTCCTCACTGAAGCAAAGTGAAAGGAATTTACTTTTGAATTTTGATGCAGTTACACAAATGGAAGTGTTTTCTTTTTCAAATGTCCAGTTTCCTAATGTCAAGCTGTTTTCCAAATTTGTCTTAGTCTAACAATCTGTGTGTATATGGTACAGATACTTGTCAACCAAATATTTGAAAGTTTAAAGTTAATATAGATCATTTTATGCAAATTAGGCATGAGAGTCAGGTCAAGAGTGATTGGCACAGAGTTGTCCGCCTAAGGAGAAATGCTGGGTGGCTCCCTGACCTCCAGGTATACATGTGGGGGAGGGTGTGTAGGAGATAGGAGAAGTCTGATTACTACTTAAAGATAAATCAATTAGCTTATTTGTTATCGAAAAGCTGGTCAGCCCCCCACATGCCTGCACCAGGCCACAGCCAGGAGCTGGGAACTCAGCCCAGCACGTGGTGTCAGGACTCACCGGAGCCTTCCTCCCAGAGTCTGCACAAGCAGGAAGCTGGGGTCACGGCAGAACTGGGACTCGCACCCAGGCGCCCCAGTGCGGAACACAGGCACCCCGCCAAGAGGCTCAGCACCTGCCGGGCCAGGGCATTCACTGGTCATTTCAACCATCCCAACGTTTCAAGGCAGTATTCTTTTTATGAAGAATAAACCGGAAGGGAGGGATAAGGAAAGGCACTAGTTGTAACTAGATAGGAATAAGAAGTTCTGGGGTTCTGGTCACAGCAGGGTGGTCATTAGATAATATTAGTGTATTGTTATTTCTCTGTAAACAAACAAATCAGAAGATTGGATTTTGGGTGTTTTCACTACAAAGAAATGTTACATGTTTGAAGAGATAAATATATTTACCCTGAATGGATCTTATGCAATGTATACGTGTACCAAAAATGTACATATGCATATATGTGTATATAAAGAAATACACATATATAGGTATATAAGACATATACATGTACATAAATTCCACGTACAATTTTCATATGTATGTTAAAATTTTTTAAAACACAAAAATTTAAAAAGAATGATAACTTAAATAAAAATTATATATATTGATTATGTATAACGATGTATTGAAATGTATCTACATTATGGAATGGTTAAATCAAGCTCATTAGCATAAGTACTGCCTCTCACTACGTCTCATTAGTGGAGAGGGGTTGGTGGTCTTATCTCCACATTACAGATGAGGAATCTAAGGCTCAGAGACAGCTCCTTCAAGGTCGCACAGCTGTGAGGGACTCAGGCTGGGAGCGTGCAGGCCTGGCGAGAACAGCGCCCTCTAGCTGCAGGGCCTCTACGCCGCCCTCTCTGAAACGGGGTAGATGCAGCACCTTCCCAGATCCTGGGAGGCATTCTAAAGACAGCGGGCCGCCCCGAGAAAGCACTTTGAAAACGCTCAGCCATCGTGACAGTGGTCATACTAATCCTAGTTAGTGGTGTGCACGGGACGGCTCCGAGTGAGCAAGGAGAGAGTGACCATCAAGAATCACATTCTGCTGAAAGGCATCCGGGTTAAGGAGTGAAAGAGGTGAGGGAGGCTGGCGGCAGCTAAGATCCTCACAGTAGCTGGACCTGGAGGTTATCGCAAAGCACACGCCAAAGCCACGCCAGAGGTCAGACAAGTGTTACCCGTGTGAGTCAACGGTACAACCACGCACAGAGCAGAGATATGACCAGACACGTCCATGGGCCGTGTGGTTCCTGATTAGCAAGTCTGGACAAGAACATGATAGGAGAAGTAACTCAAAACTCAACAGCGTTTTTCTGTCACTAGGGCGGGGGTTAGCCATAGCAGTGGCGAACAAGAAGCACTACCCAGGCCAGTGTAGACAGCGTCGTACCAGCAACACAGGCCAGTGTAGACAGCATCATACCAGCAGCATTCCAAGAAAGATGGAGTCTGAGGCCCGGACTTGCCTGCATCCAATTCCTTCGCAAGGCAAAGTTGTCACTGCCGCACACACAGGTGCAGCCACGCCTCCTTGACCCAACGCCGCCAGGCAGTGCACCTGACGCCCCTGGTTCTGATCAGAGCTCATCACCCTCTGTAGGACCCGCCTCCCGGTGTCTCTGTGTCCCAAGGGAGTACACGTTCCTGCCTCGTGGAGTGTTCTGTGTTCAGTGGCAGTCACACTTCTCATTATGAAGCAGGGAAGAAAACTTGGCATTGTGATTCGTGTCTGGATAAGGCGGCCCCTCAGGGAGCTGCCTGGCCCTCACACCTCGGTGAGTGCTCTGGGGCCATCCAGGGCCCCCAGCCTCACCATCGAGACTCCAGACCCGCAGCGTCTGTTTGCACAGCTCCGCTATCCAGAGGGGCCCCTCATTTCGGCAGTCGGCACACAGAGCCGCCGCACCGGGCCTGTCTTCTCACAGCTTTGCTTTCCTGGCTGCTCAGTCAGCAGTGATGCCAATAATAACGCCCTGGCCGAAGTCATGTGACCTTGAGGCATACGAACGCTCCACAAGTGGAACCTGTGTCGTGTGACTTATTGGTTTGTCTTGCAAAAAAAAAAAGCTCCATTTCCTGACAGTGCGGCCCACTTTTTAAAGAAATGAGTGTGATTGATATTTTGATTTCTGTTAGAAATAAACACGTATACTCAGTGGTTGTGGATGCCATGGAACTTCTGTAGTATTCAAGTGAGTTTTTCAGCAGAAGGAAGTGTGTGTGTGTGTCCGTGTGTGTGTGTGTGTGTGTTTAGTTGAATGTATTCTTTAAAATCAGAGAATCTTACAGTTGAGCCTCCCTCCCCGTATCAGCAGGTTCCACATCTGCACATACGATTGTGTAGATAGAAAATGCACAAGTGGGAGGAATCACTATGTTCCTAAAGCAGTACTTATGAAATGCATAAAGTTTGTATATAAACCTTTTGTAAATAAAAGGTTTCTGGGGAAAAAGAACGTGCACAGGGAAAAAATTGCCCATAGTGAACATGTACAGACTTTTTTTTATCATTGTTCCTTCAGCAATATGGAGACAGCCATTTATGTAGCATTTACATTGTATTAAATATTCTAAGTAATCTAAAGATGATTTAAATGTACAGAAAGTCTTTTGAAAGTTAGCAGAAAAATGTGTATTATGACAAAAACTATACATGGATTTTATAAACATTTTGCACCAACATAAACGTATCTGTTTAACTCCACTTTCCACGGGCTTTGGAAAGATGTGTGTGGGTTGTATGCAACTACTTGGCCCTTTTATATGGGAAGGGACTTGAGCGCCTGTGGGTTTGGAATCCTGGGAGGGGGACGGTCCTGGAACCAAGTTCCCCTGGATACCAACTGTGTAAAAATAACACTTCAAGGCCAAGTTCAGTGTAGAAACAACCTTCAGGCAGTTATTGGGTCTCCTGCACCGCGACCAGGCATTCTTGTTTCCTGGCCGTCGTCATGACGGCGCCGGAGCCCCTGCGAAACTGGTAGCAGGCTACGCCGGAGCACGTACTCTTTCGTCCTTTTGAGGTATTCCTGGCACATCTTGTGCGTCACGGCTGCCGTGCCCTGGTCCGTGCGTGGAGCAAATGCTGTAAAAACCTGCCGAGTGAACGCACACGAACCAGAATGTGAACTATGTGCCTAGGGCGCTGACGCGTGCAGGACAATGTGGCAGCCACCAGGATGGCGGGGAGAGGAGGCAGTGGCCCCGGAGTCCTGAGGAAGGAGCCAGAGTCAGCCCCAGGGTCCAGAGGCGTCAAGAAAGGCACACACACGACACGAGCAGCCCTCGAGCCACAGATTGTTCCGAGTTCGCTGTACAAGAATGTTCCTCGTTCCTCTCTTTCAGCCAATCAAGATCTGCATTCTTGGTCCTCCTGCTGTGGGAAAATCCAGTATCGCTGAAGGGCTGTCCAAGTACTACAAACTGCATCACATTAAAATAAAGGATGTCATTTCCGAAGCCATAGCAAAACTGGTAACACTTCTAACTACTTCATTGGGAATTTTTATATTCTGAAAGCGGTTTCCTTAGTCATGTAATAAGCCAGCAACTAATTTCACATGTCAGTCTACAAAGAGATTTGTTACTTTAATTGGATTTTGTTGTTGGCCCAAGTTATGAAAACATGGAGTCCCCCGGGGCTTTCCACTGTGAGAAGGGAGCGTGTTCATGGCTGCCTTTGAAATGGAGTCTGCTTCCAGTTGTTGTCCAGCGGGTACATGGCACTATCTCTGTTGGTTGGAACATTCTTATTTTTATTTATCCATTTTCATGTTATTGGAAAGGCAGAGAGAGAAAGAGATAGACAGACAGACAGGCAGTCAGAGAGACAGGTGGAGAGAGCATCCATCCACTGGTTCACTCTCAAAACGCCTGCAACAGCCAGGGTTAGGTCAGGCCACAGCCAGGGACTCCATCCAGGTCCCCCATGTGGGTGGGAGGGACCCAGGGACTTGAGTCCTCGCCTGCTGTCTCCAGGGTGAAATCAGAGGTGGAGCCAGGACCTGAACCCAGATGCTCCGACATGGACGCAGGCGTCCCAAGCAGCAGCTTGACCACTACAGCAGGTGCTCGTCCCTGGAGTGTTTTTAGGATTTTTGTTCTTACTGTATGTTTCTCGGGGTATTATCAGATTTTTAAAATTTATTCACTACTTTTTTAAAAAAGATTTATTTATTTACTTGAAAGTCAGAGTCGCATAGAGAGAGAACAAGAGACAGACAGAGAGAGGGAGAGAGAGAGAGAGAGGTCTTCCATCCACTGGTTCACTCCCCAATTGGCTGCAATGGCTGGAGCTACGCCAATCAGAAGCCAGGAGCCAGCAGCTTCCTCTGAGTCTCCCACACGGGTGCAGAGGCCCCAGGACTTGGGCCATCTTCTGCTTTCCCAGGCTATCGCAGGGAGCTGGGTCAGAAGTGGAGCAGCCGGGACTCAAACCGGTGGCCATATGGGATGCCAGCACTGTAGGTGGGGGCTTTACCCGCTACGCCACAGAGCCAGCCCCAACTTTTAATTTTTTTATCGGGCATGGGGGATACTGAGGTACATTCCCATGCGTAATTACTGAAAGTCTTGATTTCTTTTTTTTTATTTTTTATTTATTTTTTATTTTTTGACAGGCAGAGTGGACAGTGAGAGAGAGAGACAGAGAGAAAGGTCTTCTTTTGCCGTTGGTTCACCCTCCAATGGCCGCTGCAGCCGGCGCACCACGCTAATCCGATGGCAGGAGCCAGGTGCTTCTCCTGGTCTCCCATGGGGTGCAGGGCCCAAGCACTTGGGCCATCCTCCACTGCACTCCTGGGCCACAGCAGAGAGCTGGCCTGGAAGAGGGGCAACCGGGACAGAATCGACGCCCCGACCGGGACTAGAACCTGGTGTGCCGGCGCTGCAAGGCGGAGGATTAGCCTAGTGAGCCGCGGCGCCGGCTCCTGAAAGTCTTGATTTCTACAAAACACGGGCTCCCTCAAGCAGGATAGAACCTGGTACCCTAGGAAAGTGCGACTCTTACGCAGTTTTGAAGTGCACACAGACACATTTTATGCTCCTAAAAACAGCGTGAGGCAGACTTGGAGCTCCCCACCCTTGCAGGCTTGGGTGTCCTACAGACTGGCTACCCACGGCCGGTGGGGACGTGCCCTCCTTGGGTACCAGGCTTTTCCTGAGACCAGTTGCCAGGTGACTTGTGACTAGCAAATCAACGCAGGGCACCATCCAGTGTCAATGTCCCTGTGGCATGTAGGAGGCGATTGTGGCACCTAAAGAAGGAGGAGAAGAAGAAGGTGAAGAGGAGGAGGAGGAGGAGAACGTGGAAGATGCCCAGGAGCTCTTGGACGGCGTCAAGGAGAGCATGGAGCAGAACGCAGGTGAGCACGCACGGCGCGCGGCCGCCCTCCTGTTAACAGGGCCAGCTTCTCTATCTGGTTATAAAAGACTCCCTGTGCGCTACTAAAAATGAGTAACAAATTATAACAACAGCAAAGAAATTTCATTGATGATCTCACCCCACCCCACCCCCCAGGAAAGAGAATCACTGGTAACATTTTGGTGACTGTCTGATATTAAGATGGGAAAGAACTTCTTAAGAAAAAAAAATGCGTGCAGTCATAGATATTTTATAAGCATCAAACTTCATGAATTAAAATCAAAGGACGGGCTAGCATTGTGGTGCAGAGCGTTAAGCTGCTACTTGCAATGCCAGCAGCACATATCAGAGCACCTGTTCGAATGACAGCTACTGTGCTTCCGATCCAGCTCCCTGCTGATTGCAACTGGGAAGGCAGCAGAAAATGGCCCAAGTACTTGGACCCCTCCACCCAGGCGAGAGCCCCGATAAAGCTCCTGGCTCCTGGCTTCTTCAGCCTGGCAGACTTGGCTGTTGCAGCCATTTGGGGAATGAGCCAGCAGATGGAAGGTCTCTCTCTCTCTCTCTCTCTCTCTCTCTCTCTCCGTGTGTGTGTGTGTGTGTATGTCTTTCCCTCTCTCTGTCACTCTGCCTTTCAAATAAATAAGTAAATCTTAAAAAGAATAAAAGGCTATAACAAACAGCTAATATCCTTGATATACAAGACATTCAGGCAAATCGATAACAATAATTCAATCCTTAACAGAAAAAAAAATGGATGAAAAACACAGACCAGCACTTGATGCAAGAAGGAGTACGAGTTCATGGGGAAACAGACTTAGTCATTTGGCAGCTGATTGTGCAGGTGGTTTAGCCAATGAACCGCAGCAAAGTGTCACGTTCAACTCAAACCCTAGAGTCATTCCTCCCCACCTTTGGATGCAATTGCAGGCTGGTCCCACAGCAAGTCTTAGACAATAACTGAGAAGTCCTTTGTCTATTCATGCTTTAAGAGGGCCATTCCAATCCAATGATCTCAAACTGGGCTTGGGACTGAGATCTTTCTAAGAAAGCTTGCCACTCATCAGGAAAGCGCTAAGATCGTTTGTTTGTTTGTTTGCTTGTTAAAGGCAGAGTGACAGAGATAGAGAGATCTGGTTCACTCCCCACATGCCTACAACAGCTGGGACTGGGCCAGGCTGACCAGGAGCCAGGAACTGCAGCCAGGTCTCCCACGTGGTGGCAGGGGCTCAAGCCCTGCTGCTCCCAGGCACATTAGCAGGGAGCTGGATCGGAAGCAGAGTAGCTGGGACTTGAACCAACGCTCCATTATGGGATGTGGGCGTTCCAGGTAGTGGCTTAGCCCACTGTGCCACGACACCTGCCCGCACTGCATTTTTATACTGGAAGAAGATCGCGATCCTCTACCAAATGGGCTGCATCACCTGGTGTCACCTGCAGACAGTCCCGTGTGACCCACAGCTTGGACTCTATCCAATTCGAGTTTCTTCCCCCACCAACCTCTCAACCATGTCTGTTTTCTGTCTTCTTCCTCTTCTCCCTGCCTCCTCCCCTCTTGCTGTGGCTATTTCTGGCCCTCCAGGGTTGGGCCCGGGTGAGTGGGCATTAGTGGAGGACAGGGGTGTGTGTGACCGATTCAGGGAGGCTGGCAGGGGGTGACAGGTGGCTGCGTGCGGCTCCTTCCTGTGTTATGCTTCTGTGAGTTCTTCAGATCCTCCCACCGGCGTCCACCCACTGAGCACCTGGGAGCACAGCTCTGACTGCCCTCCGTGGCCGTCCAGCGTTGTCTCATGGCATTCACCCTTGTCCCCTTGTCCTTGAGGAGGTCCTCTGCTCAGTGACTCATCTCCACTGTGGTTGGGAGCCTTGTATCCCAGTCCTTGCCTCATGCCGTGCCCTGCTGGGGGTCGTTGCCACCTGCGGCTGCGGCTTGAGCATGTCCCCCGAAGTCCCTGTGCCGGAAGCTTCATCCCCAGTGTGCGGGGTTGGGCAGTGAGACCTCTACCGGTGACCAGGCCATGAGAGCTCTGCCGCCAGGAACAGGCCCCCGCGCTTGTCGTGGGAGCGGCTTAGCCACTGCACGAGTGGGTTCCTAACAACAGGACGAGTTTGGCCCCATCCTCGGCTCTCCTGTCTGCCTTCTCTTGCCTCATTCCCTTCTGCCGTGGGGTGATGCAAAAAAAGGCCCTTACTGGATGCAGGCCTCTCAACCTTGCACTTCCCAGCCCCCTGCACGGTAAGAAGGAAGTCTTTTTCTGCATGAATTATGCAGTCTCGGGTATTCTGTTCCAACAGCACAAAAACTTGTAAGAGCACCTGTATTCCAGGGGGCCCACGCCTGTCCAGGGCTCCTGGATGGGGGAGGAGGGACGGCTCTGGGAGGCCTTGCCCGGTGCCTGGTCCTTACCTCCTGCCTCGCTGCCGCCCCTCTTGCACGTCAAGGTCTCTGATTCCTCCACGCCTTCCCCTGGAACTCAGCCTTACCCTTCCCTCTTTTCCCCCTTCCTTCAGGCCGGGCCAATCCAGTTTTCCAGGGTGGAGGACATAGCTTTGTGTGGCAATTGAGTGTGCGTGCGCTGAAACAGCCAGTTATCTGAGTTTTGTTTTCTGCCCTGCTGTGGGCTGGGCTGTGAGGAATGGAATTTAGAATTCCGGAGGGAAAGGGAGAGGCACAGGGAACACAGAGCAGCACCCAGGGGCATGACGTTGCCTCTGCTTGCCTGCGGGGCATTGAGTCACTCTTCTGGTTTGACAGAGGGGAGCAGAGTCCTGGCTCCCAGCTTTGGGGGTGGGAGGTGGGGGAGAGAATAAGGAAAGTCCGGGTAGGATATTCCATGGTGGGGACATTGGCGGGAGGAAACCTGGCCGCGCTCGGCTGTGGGGTAGAGGGTCAGGATCTTGGGGAGCCCTGCACGTGTAAACCCCGAGGCTGTGGTGTGAGGGCAGAGATGCGGCGGGAGCCGGGAGCTGTCTGTTGGGCAGGGATGTCTGATTCCGAGGCTGACAGGACTACAGAGACTGCTGGGCTGCTCCTCACAACCACCCCGCGGTCTTCCTACGGGCTATGTCACAGGACGTGTGCAGCACCTGCTGAGCACGTGCCTTGCCCGGGGAGGGGACCGCCCAGGACAGATGGGCTGGGAGCAGTCAGTGAGTCCCACGGCCAAGAAGGGCCCCGTCCTTGGCTGAAGACCCCCTTCCCCCAGAGGCCAAACCTTTTAGGTAGCCTCTGCTTTGCCAGAGGGGCCCCGGGAGGGCGGGAGGGCAGAAGCAGTGGTCTTTGGGGAAAGATAAAGTCTTAAGAACAGCAGGGGTCCCTCCCCACTCGGCACCCTTACCCGCCCCCTGCTTCCTACAAGGTTGGACCACTTCATCCCGTCCCCTTACTCTTAGGAAGAGTCCAGTTTCCTCCTATCCTTATTTACCAGAACCTCGAACGTGGACCTTGGTCATGTTTGAACTAAACAGGACCTTTGAACCCACGGCACAGACATGACACAGACATTCCAGCGCGAGGACCTGGAGATTAGCTCCCTTTCCCTCACATGACCCCTTTTGTTATCATACGACGACAGCAATGGCACTGGCAACGCAGGTTTCACATTGCGCCAGTGGGGCTCCCCTGGGGACAGCCGCAATCAGGACTGCATTGTTTACAGGTCCTTTATGCCCACTTTGATTATTTCAAAAGCATCAATAGTGTTAGAAAGGTAGACTTAAAATCAGGGCGATGTTTTATTAACTTTAAAAAAGCTTTGTTTGTTTAATTTCATTTTATTGAAAAAGCAGGGAGACAGAGAGAGAGCTTCCATCTTCTGGCTCATTCCGCAAGTGCCCACAACAGTCAGAGCGGGGCCAGGACTCAGTCAGCGCCTCCCGTGAGGCTGGCAGGGACTCGAGTACCTGCCCATCGTCTGTTGCCTCCCAGGGTGCGACAGGAAGCTGGAACCAAGCACTGCTTTGAAGAATGTGCGAGTCCCAAGTGGCAACTGAACCCCTGAGCCAAATGTCTGCCCCCAGAGAGACATTTTGGAAGCTATCCAGGAAGGGGCTGCAGCAGTGTGAGGTTCCTAAGGAAATCAAAGATAGAACTGCCATGTGGCCCAGAACCTCTTTTGGGTATATACCCAAAGGGACTCATCTACCCCCTCCTAAAGATATCTGCACTACCATGTAAACTGCAGCATATTCATAATAACCAAGACACGGAAACAATCTAGTGTTCATTGTTGGCTGAATGGATAAAAAATATGTGACTATATATAATATGTATATATATGTGTATGTATGTATGTATATCTATATCTATCTATCTATATCTATATATGTAATGGAGAGTAGGTTACGCTGCTTCCTGAAGTGCTGGTATCCCATATGGGCACCAGTTCAAGTCCTGGCTGCTCCAGCTGATGCAGCTCCCTGCTAATGCACCTGAAACAGCAGTAGAAGATGGCCCAGTTGATTGGACCCCTGCCACCCACATGAGAGACCCAGAAGAAGTTCCTGGCTCCTAGCTTTGGTCTGGCCCAACCCTGGCCATTGTGGTCATTTGGGGAGTAGACCAATGGACATTAGACTTCTCTCTCTCTGCCTCTGCCTCTCCCTCTCTGTAACTGCACCTTTTAAATAAATAAATAAATCTTTTAAATAAAGAAAGACAAAACAGGGAAAAATATAAAAAATAAAAAACTAAAGAAAATCCTGTTTAAAAAGTAAATAAATAAATAAAATAAAAAAATGAAACGTAAAGACTATGTGATCCACAACGAAGCCATTTGCCACCTGAGGGGACTGGGAGACATTACAGTAGGTGAGTGAAGCCAGGCACAGAAGGAAAACTGCTGTATGAGCTCACGCGTGAGTGGGGTGTACACACATACATCAGATATGCAGAGACAGAGGATAAAACAGTGATTACTGTGGGGAGGCCACGATAGAGGGTCAGGGATCTAGAGCCTAAAGGACTGAACTAGCATTTGTGTAGCATAAACACGTTTAGATTCGAAGTGACTGCAATCGCACGGTGTTAGGATGTTTGTTAAGTAAGATTTTAGCTGCTCTGGTGAGAAAAGTAACTGAGACGCGGGCACGTTCATCCCTTCCCTGTGGTGGCATTCAGTCTCTCTGCACCTCCCATAGCCTCATCTTATAAACCTCTAAAACAGACAACCAAGTTTACTTTAAAAAAGATTTATTTATTTATCTGAAAGTCAGGGCTACAGAGACAGAGGGAAAGACAGAGAGAGAGAGAGAGAGAGAGGAGAGATCTTCCATCTGCTGGTTCACTCTCCAGATGGCCACAACGGCAAGGCCTGACCAGGCCAAAGCCAGGAGCTTCATCCGGGTCTCCCACGTGGGTGCAGCGGCCCAAAAACTTGAACCATCTTCTGCTTTTCCCAGGCCGGTAGCAGGGGGCTGGATCAGAAGTGGAGCAGCCGGGACTCGAACTGGTGTGTATGTGGGATGTCAGTGTCGCAGGCCGTGGCCTTACCTGCTTTGTCGAAACGTCAGCCCCAAGGTTTACTTTTAAAAAAATAAAGCAGAAAGGGGCAGTCAGCTGCCCCAGAGGTCAACATGAGCCAGAGGTCACTGGCGTCTGCCTAGCGGGCCGCAGTGCTCTGGAGCAAGGCGTGGCCCTCGGTGCTCCAGCGTGCCTCTGAAGTGCGCCACAGTCCCCAGACAGACTGCTCTGCTTCTTGCTTTCCGGACACTCGTGTTCTGACTCAAACAGAAACGCATGGCAAATCTCAGGCCTGAAATAAACCAAGGGGCATGTCGGGGGGTGCCTGGCTCCCTGACCCGAACAAGGAGAGCTTTGGAAACGGGAAGAGACTGCTTCAATAAAACACGGCTTGCAACGGCAGCGCGTCCCACGGCTTTAGCTCCGTGACCGTCGTGAACCTTTGTGGAAAACAAAGTAAAAATCCCTTGAAGAAATTTCAGTACGTTCAAATGACCTTGGGTCATTTTGTTTTGGACTTGGTCATATTTAAATTTTTTTTTTTTTTGACAGGCAGCGTGAACAGTGAGAGAGACGAGAGAAAGGTCTTCCTTTGCCATTGGTTCACCCTCCAATGGCCGCCGCGGCCAGCACACTGTGCTAATCCGAAGTCAGGAGCCAGGTACTTCTCCTGGTCTCCCATGGGGTGCAGGGCCCAAGCACCTGGGCCATGCTCCACTGCACTCCCTGGCCACAGCAGAGAGCTGGCCTGGAAGAGGGGCAACCGGGACAGAATCCGGCACCCCGACTGGGACTAGAACCCGGTGTGCCGGCGCTGCAAGGCGGAGGATTAGCCTAGTGAGCCGCGACTCTGGCCTCATATTTAAATTTCTGAAAGACACAATTGTTTTCTGAATTCACTGCTGCTTATGATCTGTGTGACACTGAGTGGTAGAAAAAGGAGATGGGCCCAGTGCTGTGGCCTAGTAGCTTAGGCTGCCGTCTGCAGTGCCTGCAGGCCATACGGGAGCCAGTTTGAGTCCCAGCTGCTCCACTTCCGATCCAGCTCCCTGCCAACACACCTGGGAAAGCAGCAAAAGACGGACTAAGTGCCTGGGCCCCTACACCCAGTGGGAGACCCGAAAGAATCCCCTGGTTCCTGGCTTTGGTCTGGCCTAGCCCTGGCCATTGTGGCCATTTGGGGAGTGAGCCAGTGGCCGGAAGATCTTCCTGTGCCTCTCCTTCTCTCTCTGTCACTCTGCATTTCAAATAAATAAATCCTTTTAAGAGTTCTCCTTTCTCCATATCCTCACCAGCGGTTGTTACTCTTGTGTTTTGGTAATAGCTACCTTAAACAGAGGGGAGATGATACCTCCTGATGGTTTCGATTTGCATTACTCTGATGGCTAGTGGTTTGGAGCATTTTGTTCTTATATTTGTTGGCTATTTGTGTTTCTTCTTTTCAGAAATGTCTGTTCAGGGTCTTTGCCCATTTCTTAACTTGACTGTGTATTGCTGTGGTTCAGTTTCTGTTATATTCTGGATATAAATCCTTGGTCGGACAACAGCTTGGAAATATTTTCTCCCATTTTTGGGTGACTCTCCGCTCTATTTGAATGTTTCCTTTACTGTGCAGAAACTTTGATATAATCCCATTTATCTAGTTTTGCTTTTGTTGGCTGTACCTTTGGGGCCTCATCCAAAAAATCACTATCTACAACTTTAAGAGTTTATCCTGTGTTTTCTTCTAGCAATTTCATAGTTTTAGATCTTTATTTTTATTTTTATTTTTTTATTTATTTGACAGAGTTAGACAGTGAGAGAGAAGAGACAGAGAGAAAGGTCTTCCTTCCATTGGTTCACCTCCCACATGGCCGCTTCGACTGGAGCTACGCCTATCCGAAGCCAGGAGCCAGGCGCTCCTTCCTGGTCTCCCATACGAGTGCAGGGCCCAAGCACTTGGGCCATTCTCCACTGCCTTCCCAGGACACAGCAGAGAGCTGGACTAGAAGAGGAGCAACTGGGACTAGAACCCGGCTCCCATATGGGATGCCGGCGCAGCAGGCGGAGGATTAACCAAATGAGCCACAGCGCCAGACCCCACATTTAGGTCTTTATGTTGATATGTATATCCAGTTTTCCAACATGATGTATTGAAAGGACTATCTTTTCCCTCACGTATGTTCTTTACATCTTTGGCAAAAATCAGTTGCCTCTGTGTGTATGAATTAATTTCTGGGTATCCCGTTCTGTTGATCTGTGTGTTGGTTTTTATTCCAGCACCATGCTGTTTTAATTAAATAGCTTTGTAGCATGCTTTGAATAATGTATTGTGATGCCTCCAGCTTAAATTCAGCAAATATTTACAGAACATTTATTTTTAACCAGTCATGTGCCAGATACATAGATGAAGAGAATCTCACTTAATTCTCACGAGAGAAGCATTTACCCCTATATGAGAGCAGAGAGGTGTAACACTGGGCACTTGGCGCAGGTTAGATGCCGCTCAGCAGAGTGCCTGCGTTCCAGCCCCAGCTTCCCGCTGCTGCACACCGGGAAGGCAGAGGTGATGCTGCACATCCTTGGGTCCCTGGCACCTGTTGGGAGACCTGGATGGAATTCCAGGCTCCCGGCTTCGGCCTGCCCAGCCTCGGCTGGGGGGGAGTGAGCCAGCAGATGAAAGATATTCTCTGTGTCTATCTTTCTGTCTTTGCCTTTCAAATACATGAAGGTAAGCAGGGGCCAATGCTGTGGCATAGCGGAAAAAGCTGCCGCCTGCAGTGCCAGCATCCCATGTGGGCGCTGGTTCTAGTCCCAGCTGTTCCACTTCCCATCCAGCTCTCTGCTGTGGCCTGGGAAAGCAGTAGAAGATGGCCCAAGTCCTTGGGCCCCTGTACCCATGTGGGAGACAGGAAGAAGCTCCTGGCTCCTGGCTTCGGATTGGAGCAGCTCCGGCCATTGCAGTCAATTGGGGAGTGAACCATCAGAAAGCAGACCTCTTTCTCTCTCTCTCCCTCTCTGCTTCTCCTCTCTCTATGTAACTCTGACTTTCAAATAAATAAATAAATCTTTTTAAATAAAGGAAAAAAAGAAGATAGGAAAATCAATAAAAATTAAGATACAGAGGTAACTATCAAACAGAATTGAGTAAGCCCTGTACGGAAGAGAGCCCTGCATTGCACCACTCATTCCTCATTGAACTTCCCCCGGAAGTCTGTGCTCACAGAAGACTTGCAAATACAGGGACTCGGTGTCTGCTTCCGTTCCTCTTTCTGTGGCCGGCTTGCTGAGTTCTCAGTTGTGCATTCGAGTTCACACGTCACGCTCAAAATACAAAACCACACTTTTTTTTATTTTAAGAGAAAAATAAGGGAATTTCAATAGAATGCTTGATCCACCCAACAGTGTTTGCGCTAACTTTAGACCATGCCGCCACAATAATATACCTGTATATATTTTTTCTTTTTATCAGGCCGACTAGAAGATCAGTATGTAATTAGATTTATCAAAGAAAAGCTAAAATCTATGCCTTGCAGAAATCAAGGTTACATTTTGGATGGATTTCCAAAGACATATGATCAAGCAAAAGACCTGTTCAGTCGTAAGTCTGAGTGTTCCCTTTAATTTGTTTATATTCAAATAGGTAACAACTTCATCTCGCAAGAAATAGTCATTCAATTAACAAAAAAACATAAAAGTAGAGAAACAATGCGTTTTGAACCTTGACTCACCTTGTATTAGGTGCACAGCTTTTTAAAAATTTTTCAAATTCATTCTATTTAATTATGGCATGAAAACTTAGTGTGAGATCTGCACCTTTCATGTTTAAGCGTACAGCACATTCTTGTTGACTGCTGCCTAGCAGGTCTTCTGGGCTCATTCGCCTTGCTCCGTCAAAACCTCACACGCCTGCGTCAGTGACTCTCCTCCTCTCTCCTCCTCCAAGTCTCTGCACCCACCATTCCACTCTGGCACCCTAATTCCGAATGGAAGAGTTGGCTACTGACGATAGCTCACTCCAGTGGAAACACGCAGTAGTAGACTTCCCATGACGGACTGACCTCATTCAGCAAAGTGCCCTCGAGGTCCACCCATGTTGCTGCGTGTATCAGAATCTCCTTCTTTCTTCTGAAGCCTGAACGGCGCCTGCTGTCTGCATGTTCCATGTGTCCTTTATCCTCATCTGTCAGTTCGGCTGGTGGCACTGTTCCTAACATACATGCTCTGTTTATGGTTAGCTCTCATTAGTGACTGCTAGTTGGGGTGGTTGAAATGCGTGCTGCAATCCACGTAATATGTTACAAACAGAACAATGTGTGTTTTCTTCTCTTAGAGGAAGATGAGGAAGAAGAGGAAGATGTCAGAGGCAAACTATTTCCCTTTGATAAATTAATCACCCCTGGTAAGTAGAAGATATTTCTCCGAGATCACATTGAAAAGAGTGCTCTTCGGTCTCTCTTTTGTGCCCGCTGTTTTTGAATTTAATAAAGCAGATCTTCCCCTTTATAGGGAAAAGATGATAAGGTTCAACTTCAAACTAGAGAACGTGCTGGGGGTGAGTATCAGGGATATGAAAGTCCTGCGAGGGGCAGAACCCCCTTTGAGAACAGTCATTTGGGCTGCGCTCCCTGTGGCAAAGCAAAAGTGGCGCATCTGCCCCGGCGCTGACTTCCCGGTCAGCAGGCGAGGTGCCAAGGCTGGGCTGCCCCACTTCCCGCTTTGCTTTGGGGGCCGGCAATGCCAGCATCTTTCCGGAAGGCATCGGATCCAGGGCCGGGACTGGGCAGGTTAAACGCTCTTCGATTCCCCATGCAGTCCGGAGCAGGTGCAGCTGTCCCGTTGCTGACTCGGGGGTTTCACCAGGCGCTCCTGACAGCGGAGCATGAACCACCTGCCCTGCCTCTGACCACCCCGTGGGCCTGAAGAAACGCGGCTGTTTCTGGTCAGCCTGCTCGGGGCACGATCGCAGCGATCGCAGGGGAAGATAGCGGATCATGTGATCAACACGAGAGGGAGTTGTAACTACAGAGAACCTGCCCACGGTGTGAGGCGCCCCAGGGAGCCAGTGTGGCTGCGCTCAGCTCCTCTTGGGGAGGCACAGCGTGCAGGAAAGCCTCTGGAAGCCCTGAGCCCGGCAGGCAGCAGCCTCGCCCCTCCTCCAGGCGGGGATTCGGTGTCTGCCTATGGGCTCTGAAACCACAGGCAGAAACGTGAAATGCCCAAGGGATGAATGCCTCAGATTTCCCGCCAGTTCTGGCAAACACCTCAGGAAAAGTTAAAATTTAATTACTGGGGCCGGCGCTGTGGCATAGTGGCCAAAGCCCCTGCCTGCAGCACCGGCATCCCATAGGGGTGCTGGCTCGAGTCCCGGCTGCTCCCATCCAGCTCTTTGCTGTGGCCTGGGAAAGCAGTATAAGATGGCCCAAGTCCTTGGGCCCCTGCACCAGCGTGGGAGACCCGGAAGAAGCTCCTGGCTCCTGGCTTTGGATCGGCGCAGCTCTGGCTGTTGCGGCCATCTGGGGAGTGAACCAGTGGATGGAAGATCTATCTCTCTCTGCCTTTCCTTCTCTCTGTGTGTAACTCTGACTTTTAAATAAATAAATAAATCTTTAAAAAAAAAAAAACTTAATTATTCTTTGGCTAGCGTGGTGGCCTAGTGGGTCAAGCTGCTGCCTGCAATGGCAACATCCCATGTGAGTGCTGGTTCGAGTCCCGGCTGCTCCACTTCTGATCCGGCTCCCTGCTAACACGCCTGGGAAAGCAGTGGAAGACGTGCCGCCCACACGGGAGACCCGGATGATATTCTTGGCTCCTGGCTTCGGCCTGGCCCAGCCCCAACTGTCATGGCCATTTGGGTACTGAACCAGCAGATGGAAGATCTCTCTGTCCTTGTAACTCTGTTTTTCAAATAAATAAAATCTCAGGGAAAAAAAAAAAACCTTGATTGTTCTAAATAACCAAGTAGTTCCAGTTTCCAAGAATCTATGGACAGTATTCCCTCACTGCAAACTTCATGGACAATCCTCACTCTCCTGCTCCGGTGACGGGATACAATTCAGCCCGACTGATGTCGCCAGGCACCCGCCCCCCCGCCCCGCCCCGAGCCGTGAGCTCACTGAGCCGTTCCAACAGCCTGCCAGGTGGCAATCACACCGTGGTTATCCAACCCCACCGAGAACGCCCAGAGGCTGATGTGGAAAATGGGAAGTTTCAAACAGAAGTCTCCCTCCACCACCTCCGAATATACTTCACGTGAAGCCCATTGCTACAATCAGGACGCAGAAGCACAGAGGGGCAGTGACGATCACCATCATGGTCTGCTGGGCTGCCCTCCCCCGGGCCGAACACAAGCCAAACAAGTCTGAGAACCGTCCACTTGGAGTGTCCAGTCTGTTCTTACTCAGCTACACTCCCCAGAAATTGTCCTTATTCCCTGCCTTCCTGAAAGACAGCATTGTTGTCTTTGTATCTGTGGGACTGAAATGAATGGAGGGGGCTGGGCGATGGTACAGTGATCAATGCCACGGAGAGAACTTCCCGAGAGGAGTGGCCCCCTGTGCTACGCGGAGCTGTGCGGGGAGCACCAGGCGTGGTCAGGAGGCGGGGGGCTGTCCAGGTTGGAGCCTTTGTTGGCGTTTCCGCAGCAAAAGCAAAGCAGAAGAGAGTGAACAGCTTAGGACCGGTGACTTTGAACAACAGGTGTGGTCCCTAACAGCCTGGTAGCCGGCGCTGGGGTGAGTTCGGCAGGGAGAGGACTGCGTGGTGCGTGCGAGTTAGGTGAAGGCCGTGGAGCTGTTACCAGCCATCTGCACTTGGCCAGTATGAGAGCTGCAAATGTTCTGCAGAGTTCCCTTAGAGACCGCCAACTCCTGGAGCTCTGTCGCATCACAAGGACAAGGAGCTTTTAAAAAACATCTACTGGGACGTATATTTTTTCATATTAAAATTTCTTGAAAATTGGAAAGCCGAGTATGTTACTCGGTATGTGCAATATTTGATTAGTTGAAATCTTCCATCTCCCAATCACTCTGGGAAAAAGGATACATCATTACATTTTGCAGTTCTCAGATTACTAACAATGTTTTCATCTAGGAGTCTGACATCATGGAGCTTAGAGGGAGCCAATTTGCAGTGAATTTATTGACATCATTTCGATATAAGTATTAAGGGTTCAAATGTCTCCTTTTTTAGCATGTAGCTACTTATGAAAATCAAATGGAAAAGCAAAACAGGTCAGAACAGTGGTGGCCTCAGACAGCTGCAGGTTTATAGAATCAGTGCACAAGCTCATCCCCAGCCTTTATTTTCACCATGAGCACACAGCAGACGATGTTCACCTGTGTTCTGCACGCCCCCTGGTCTGGTCTGTTAGCACATGCGATGGACAATGCTAACGCATGCTCCCTTGTCTCCTGGGCTTTTTCCGATACACTTACCTTATTCATCCACACAAGGACGCTTATTAGGAGGCAGGTGAATGAGAATTGGCACTGTTGGGTGGTGAGCCAGCACAATTTTACAACAGTCAACTCTTCCCAAGCTTTGCTGGGCTCCTACAGGTGGCAAAGTCTTTGCGATGCACTTGGCCACTGAACTGGACACTTGTGTCTCTGGTCCTATTGTTGACAAAATTTATTTCACTGACCACCCTCCCCCCCAACTCTAGTCTCTTATTCACTTAACAAATATCTGTTGAATTTGTACTAGAAGCTGGAGAAACAGTTTCTTTCTTTCTCTCTCTCTTTTTTTTAAGATTTATTTATTTATTGAAAGAGTTACACAGAGAGAGGAGAGGGAGGGAGGGGGAGAGAGAGAGAGAGAGAGAGAGAGAGAGAGGTCTTCTATTTGCTAGTTCACTCCCCAAATGGCTACAACAGTTGCAGCTGTGCTGATCTGGAGCCAGCAGTCAGGAGCTTCTTCCGGGTCTCCCACATGGATGCAGGAGCCCAACAACTTGGGCAACCTTCCACTGCTTTCCCAGGCCATAGCAGAGAGCTGGACTGGAAGAGGAGCAGCCAGGACTAGAACCAGTGCCCATATGGGATGCCAGCACCGCAGGCAGAGGATTAGCCTATTGCAACACAGCGCCGGCCCCTGGAGAAACTGTTTTGTCTAATCTGGGTGTCATCATTTGCCAAGTGTCATTATGTCTATTGAACACATAGGTGTCCTGTAGCCAGTGGCAGTAAGTGAAGAGAGAGCTGGATCCATGGACATTAAACTCCCAGGGGAGTCCCCACTGTTGGGAATTTGGCAAAGCAGCCCACAGAGCTCTTTGCCCACAGCTGCCATGATGCTCTCGGGTAGCCTGTGAGGACTGTGCCGCTGACGGGGCAGGGTGAGGATGGACCAGGAAGCTGGTGATGTCCCAGGGGGTTACTGGAGCGGTGCCATTTACAATTCCTGCTGCTTGTTGTGGGAAGGAAGGTGGGGGGAGGAAGGAGAGGAGGAAGGGAAGAGAGATTGTACGAAACACCCTCAGTGCCCCATGGAGTGGTCTCTGGAACGTGATGTGTGTGGGTGTTTATCCACCCGGGCACCGGAAGTTTGAGTTAGCAGGGGCCGGTGTGTTTCCCAGTAGCCAGCTAGCCAGCCCTGCCGTGTGGTGCCAACTGTGGAACTTGCTCTCCCCAGAGTTCGTGTGTGCGCTGGACGCCTCGGATGAGTTTCTGAAGGAGCGCGTGATGAACCTGCCCGAGAGCGTGGTGGCCGGGACCCACTACAGCCAGGACCGCTTCCTCCGGGCTCTGAGCAACTACCGGGACATCAACACCGAGGACGAGACTGTCTTCAACTATTTTGATGAAATTGAGATCCACCCGATTCACATTGGTATGAAATGAACTCAAGGGTTATGGGAGCGTTGAGACCCAGGACCCCCGGCAGCCCCCACTGCACATAATGGGGATGGTGGGGCTCGGGAGGACGGGGAGTTCGGGGTGGGGAGCACAAGGAGGCTCCGGGGCGTGGCAAGCCACAGGACGAGCAGAACCCACCCCCAGGGAGTTGCTTTACTTGGGGATTTGGACGTGGGTGGGTGTTCTTAGTACATGGAAACCTATGGGTAGGTTACAGAATCAAACGTCAAATTGGCAGACTCATAAGAGCACTTCAGAGAAATGCGAGCTTGTTGTCAGCTGCTCTGGGCGCTGCCCCCACGCTGCCCCCGGGTTTCTTGGGGGCAGCGTTCTGTGCCTGCAGCCCTGCCGGCCCCGCTGCACTTCACGGACCCCCTCCTGACCTTCAGCCTAGCCAGCTCACTCCCACCACTCCCCAGAAAAGCAAATAGCTCTCTGTGGCATCCCCCCTCATTTCCTGTAAACACATAACTCAGAGCTTAGCGCACAGCGAGCGCTCGGCAAATAGGATCTGCACCAACCCCATCTTCATCACTGTCACTCTTGGCTCCGAATCTCAGCATCAGTAGCTGTTTCCTGCTCCCCTCGGCTTGGTGAGCCCCTGAACTTCCCTTCTGGTTATCTGGACCCTCGTGCCTCTTTCTCCCTCTGGGTCTGGAGAGAAACAACCAGCTGCCTTCCTGGGAGAAGCTGACCGGACAGCCGCTGCCCTTGATAAGCCGGAGGCGACAGCATTTGGACCTCGGCGTTCTGGGAGGCGGGGAGCGAACGATGGAGTCAGCAGGAGGCACGAGAGCTGATTCCAGCTCTGGCTTGTCCTCGGCCTTCTCGTCTATGAACTTGGAGAATGATCAGGCTTGTAGGGTTGTTACAAACGGTAGAGAGAAGCGATAGGAAGTGCCCGTGCTCTGAAGGAGTTCAACAAGTGGCCATGTCGCTATTACTATGGTAATAGAGCGTAAAATGATGTACAGTTGGTAAATCTGCAAATTCTCCTCCTCTGTTTTGCACCTCATCAGGGACTGGGCATTTGCCCTCACTTGAACATAGTTTTGCATGTTGGATACACTTTATACGGGCTCTACACCTGCCAATATGGAAATTAATTTATGTTAGTTAATCAGTAAATTGGGCCAATGGTGAACAAATTTCAGAAAAGTAGTGATTATCTTTTCAGCAAAGCCCAAAAAATTACTTGCAGGAAGAACAGGAGAGCGTCCAGGGAGAAACACTGAGGAAAGTAGAAATCAGGCCAGTGCCACGGCTCACTAGGCTAATCCTCCGCCTGCGGCACTGGCACCCTGGGTTCTAGTCCTGGTTGGGGTGCCGGATTCTGTCCCAGTTGCTCCTCTTCCAGGCCAGCTCTCTGCTGTGGCCCGGGAAGGCAGTGGAGGATGGCCCAAGTGCTTGGGCCCTGCACCCGCATGGGAGACCAGGAGAAGCACCTGGCTCCTGGCTTCAAATCGGCACGGCGCCGGCTGTAGCGGCCATTTGGGGGGTGAACCAATGGAAGGAAGACCTTTCTCTCTGTCTCTCTCTCTCTCTCACTGTCTAACTCTGCCTGTAAAAAAAAAAAATCATGGCAGGGAACGAATGAGTGGCCATTGTGTTTTTGCCTCATTCTGAGCTGTCAGGTCTGGCCCCGGCTCCACTCTGACAAGCAGGAGAGAGAAGCAAAGACGAGACTGTACTGTAAAGACGAGCTGGGGGAGGGCGGATTAAAATCAGGAAAATCATCTCAGCCCGGGAAGAGTCCGGAATGGGACCCTGGAAACACGCTGGGAATCCACTGTCTGCATCTCTGGATTTCGTCTTCCCTCTTAGCCATCTATTTGTTTATGCATTGATTTAGGCAGAGAGAGAGATCCTCCATCCAGTGGTTCACTCTCCAGATGCCCGCAACACCTGGGGCTGGCCAGTAGCTGGAGACGAAATCCGAGCTTCCCTTGTGGGAGGCAGGGAACCGAGTACTTGAACTTTGACCTGTTGCCTCCCAGGGGTCACATCAGCAGGGAGCTGGAACCGGGAGTGGAGGTGGGACTCCAACCCAGGCACTCTGAAAGAGGGAAACAGGTGTCCCAAGGGCAAGGCTTCTCTCCTTCCTCCCTGGCCCCAGTGCTGGGCTGAGGCTGCCCTGCAGCCTTGAAGTGTCCATGTTATCCTGGGAGCTAAGCCTGGGACTGGACACCGTCCCAGCCTCCCATTCCTGGCAGAGCCACTGTGCTAGTCAAGCTCTGGTCAGGTACCCACGCCTGTCCATGCAGCAGCTGCACCACTGCAGGGCCAGGGCAGGATCTTTCTGGGGCAAAACTGCTCCCTGTGAACACATTCTCCAAACTCAGAGCCCGTTCAAGGACATCTCAGGGCACTTAGTGACACCGAGATTGTAACTACTGAGAAGGATCGGGGGAAACACATTTAAATGCCGGAGGTCAGGCAATGGGGAGGTAGCAGATCTGAGCTTTGGTTTTTTTTTTTTTTTTTTTTAAGGTCTTGTTTGTGCTCACCAAACAATGCACTGGTGCTGTGCCTCTCCTCTTGCCCTGGTAATGTGGTGGTGTCTCTGGTCCAGGTCCAGGTCGTACAGATATGGAGAGTGGATATAGCAGTGGCTGTGATGGGAAGAGGGCAAGCAGTTGTTCAGAGGAACGTCTGGAGGGCTCAGTATGAACATGTGTCCACGGCACCTGTTCCAAGCAGAACCTTCCAATTCAACCCAAGAGAGTAGTGTAGACATTGCTATTGGGGCTGGCGAGTGGCATGGTGGATAAAGCCACAGCCTGCGACTCCAGCATCCCACTGTATACTCACAGCCACTGTTTCGAGTCTTGGTTGTTCCTCTTCCAATCCAGCTCTCTGCTATGGCCTGGGAAAGCAGTAGAAGATGGCCCAAGTCCTTGGGCACCTGAACCCACATGGGAGACCTGGAAAAAGCTCCTGGCACCTGGCTTCTGTCTAGCCTAGCCCCAGCCATTGCAGTCATTTGGGGAGTGAAGCAGCAGATGGAAGCTCTCTCTCTCTGTCTCTCTGTCTCTCCCTCTATATGTTTGTAACTCTGCCTTTCAAATAAATAAAATAGATCTTTAAACACAACACAACACACACACACACACACACACACACAAGAATTGCTCTCACAGTGACTCCGCAGGGAGATCACTGTCAGTCAACTGAGCTTTTCTTCTTTCCCTTCCTGCTCCTCTTCCTCATCCCCCTCCTCTGTCTTGATATTAGCAACAGTCAGATGTCCTGAGTTTGCACTCCTTCCTATTCTAGTAGACTAAGTAAAATGGTTAATTTTTTATGGATGGAAAATATATCCCCAAATCACTGATTTTTAGAAACAAAACCCCGAAAGAAACTCAAGGTCGTCCTGGGCAGCCTCTGACAGCTGCAGTCCTGGCTTCTGTGCAAATCTCTGAAGGAAATGTCCCATTGCCTGATCGCTTCCGGGTGCAGGTGGTCCTTTCCCCTCTCCATCCACTCAAACCGGCAGTGACTCTGAGAACTCCTAGACCCACCAAGTGGGTTTATCCTTGGGATGCAGGGATGGTTCAACATATGCAAGTCAATACATTTGTTATGTCACATTAACAAGTTGAAGAATAAAAACCACATGATTATCTCAACAGATGCAGAGAAAGCATTGATAACATACAGCACCCTTTCATGATAAAAACCTTAAGCAAATTAGGTATAGAAGGAACATTCCTCAAAACAATAATGACAAACCCCCTTGCCAGCATGATATTGAATAGGGAAAACTTGGAAGCACTTCAGCAAGATCTGGAACCAGACAAGGATGCCCACTTTCAGTGACCACTACTATTTTTTAAAAAAGTTATTTATTCGTTTGAAACTCAGAGTTACAGAGAGAGAGAAGGAGAGGCAGAGGGAGACAGAGGTCTTCCACTCCACTGTTCCACTCCCCAAATGACCGCAACAGCTGGAGCTGTGCCGATCCAAAGCCAGGAGCCAGGAGCTTCTTCTGGGTCTCCCACATGGGTGCAGGTGTCCAAGCACTTGGGCCATTTTCCACTGCTTTCCCAGGCCATAGCAGAGAGCTGGATCAGAAGTGGAGCAGCTGGAACTCCCATACGGGATGCCAGCACTGCAGGCGGCAGCTTAACCGGCTATACCACAGCGCCAGCCCCACCATTGCTATTCAGTATAGTTCTGGAAGTTTTAGCCAGTTTGCAGTTGACATGATCCTATAAAAGGGGAGCCAAAAGATCCCACTAAGAGACTATTGTTACTCATAAGAGAATTTAGTAAAGTTGTAGGACATAAAATCAACACACAAAATCAATAGCTTTTGTATACATAGACAATGCTATGGCAGAGAAAGAACTTGTAAGATCAGTCCGATTCACAATAGCCACAAAAAAACTTAAATACCTTGGAATAAATTTAACCAAGGATGTGAAAGATCTCTATAATAAACGTTATAAAACGGGGCTGGTGCTGTGGCACACAGTGGGTTAAAGCCCCAGTCTGCAGTGCCAGCATCCCATATGGGCACCGGTTTGAATTGGGCTGCTCCTCTTCCAATCCAGCTCTCTGCTATGGCCTGGGAAAGCAGTAGAAGATGCCCAAGTGCTTGGACCCCTGCACCCTTGTGGGAGACCCAGAAGAGCTCCTGGCTCCTGGCTTTGGGTCACCTCAGCTCTGGCCATTGCGGTCATTTGAGGAGTGAACTAGCAGAATGGAAGATATCTCTCTCTCTCTCTCTCTCTCTCTCTCTCTCTCTCTCTCTGTAATTCTGTATTTCAAAGAAGTAAAATAAATCTTTAAAACAAAAACAAGAACATTACAAAACATTAAAGAAAGAAATAGAAGAAGACATTAAAAAATGGAAAAATCTTCCATGTTCATGAATTGGAAGAATTACTACTGAAAGCAGTTGCAAACTCAATGTGTTCTCAATCAAAATACCAATGATATTCTTCTTCGATCTAAAAAAAAAAAAAAAAACTGTTCTTAAATTCATATGGAAGCAAAAGAGACCCCAAATAGCTAAAGCAATCTTAAGCAGCAAAAACAAAGCTGAAGGCATCAAAATACCAGGCTTAAAGCCTTGGCTTGCAGCGCCAGCATCCCATATTGGCACTGGTTTGAGTCCTGGCTGCTCCACTTCTGATCCAGCTCCCTGCTAATGCACCTGGGAAAGCAGCAGGCCCAAGTGCTTGGGCCCCTGCACCCACATGGGAGACCCAGAAGAAGCTCCTGGCTCCTGGCTTTGGATCAGCTCAGCTGAAGCTGTTGTCGCCATTTGGGGAGTGAACCAGCAGAGGAAGACCTCTCTTTCTCTGTTTCTACCTCTCTGTAATTCTTTCAAATAAATAAAATTAAACTAAAAAAAGAGAGAGAGAGAGAGAGACTCCAGAAGCACAGGCAATAACAATAAAAATAGACAAATGGGATTACATGAAGCTAAAAAGCTTCTGCACTGCAAAGGAAACACTTAACACAGTGAAGAGGCAACCGACAGAATGGGAGAAAATATTTGCAAAGTATGCAACTGATAAAGGATTAATATCCAGGAACTATAAAGAGCTCAAGAAACTCAACAACAACAAAACAAATAATCCAGTTAAGAAATGGGCAAAAGACATGAACAATTTTCAAAGTAGGAAATACGAATGGCCAACACACACATGAATGCCCAGGATCGCCAGCTATCAGGGAAATGCAAATAAAAGCCACATGAGGTGTCACCGCACCCCAGTTAGAGAGGGAACGGCTATCATCCAAAAATCAAATAATAAATACTGGCAAGGATGTGGGGAAAAAGGTACTGTAATCCACTGTTGGTAGGAATGTAAACCAGTATGGAAGACAGCATGGAGATTCCTCAGAGATCTGAAAATAGATATATGATCCAGCCTTCCCACTCCTGGGAATTTACCCAAACAAAATGAAATCAGCATATGAAAGTTATTTGTACCCCATTCACTGTAGCTAAGCTATGGAGTCGACCCAGATGTCCATCAGTTGATGACTGGGTAAAGAAACTATGGTGTATATACACTACAGAATACTCCTCAACCATCACAAAGAATGAAATCCTGGCTTCTGCAACAAAATGGTTGCAACTGGAAACCATTATGCTTACTGAAATAAGCTAGTCTCAAAACTACAAATATTATAGATTTTTCTCTGATAATTGACAGTTAATATAGAATACCGAAAAATGTACAGGAATGAGATGGTCAGTTTGGGATGTGATTGTCATTCAGCCCTTGCTGATACTCCTGCGGAACTGTAGTCTTCCTGCTTTTTACTTGTTTAATATTGTGATTAGTGGCAAATTAACTCTGTGAAAATGGAGTGGATTAACATTATATCTTTGCAAAAACTGATGAAGAGAGGAGAGGGAGGGAGGGCGATCAAGGGGGACAGGGGAGTGGGGAAGTGTGGTTGTCTTCTTGGAACAGTACCTATGGAGAATAAAATCTATTCTCTTTATATTCACAATAATTATTATAAAGAACTCCTAGACCCAAGCCCAGATCTTCCTGCCCAAGGCTCTCAGAGCCTGGCTTGAAATTCTTGGCCACGCTGGCAACTAGAAAGGGAGGCTCCGGGGCGGGTGGTCGTTTGCATAACTCACTCTCGCGGGTTCACGGCACCAGAGAATCCGCCAAAGCAGGCCTGGAATGATAACCCCGGGTTCTGCTCTCTCCTGGTGTTGAAAAGATGTAGGAAAACTCGAAGATGCTCAGAACAGACTTGCGATCAAGCAGCTCATCAAAGAGATCGGGAGGCCCCGGAACTACGGTTTCACGGAGGAGGAGAAGGCGGAAGAGGAGCAGCGGGCAGCCGAGGAGCGCCTGGCCAGGGAGGCGGCCGAGGAGGCCGAGCGCGAGCGCCAGGAGGCGGTGGAGACGGCGCAGAAGATAGCGCGCTGGGAGGAGTGGGTGAGTGGGCATCCGTGCCGGAGCCCCCGGGGCCAGCCCGCCGGAGCCCCCCGGCCAGGTCTGTCCGCCGGTCCAGGCACCTGAGACAGAGGAAAGCCCTGGGCTTCAGGGTTAACGGCGCGATCCAGGCTGCGGCAGCTCTAGTAGGAACGCTCACGCCTCTGCACACCTGTTTCACTCTTGTCCGTCCTGTGGTCAGACTCGGTTTCCCCCATTTACCTCGGCCAGCCTCCGCCCGCCCCTCCTGCTTTCCCAAATCCTCGCCTCCGGAAGTGTTCTTGCTTCCAAAACCAGCTCCGGGTCCACCTGCAGGTCCTGCGTCTGCTCCGGGTCAGTGTGTTTCTGGCCAGAATGATGAGGCACCTGCTCCCCGGGCTTCCCAACCCACCGGGGACCACCCTGGCCTAGCGCCACACTGCTGCCCGGCGAGCCTTCTAGGGTGCGGCCCTACCCCGGGCATTCTGCAAAGACCCTTCCCAGGCCGGCTGTCCCCTAACACAAGAGCCCACTAGGCACTGTGTGGTTGCCTGCCGGCTTCGTCTTTCCCAGTCTCAAACCACGCCCCAGTGGGCTTCTCACATCACTTTCACTTGTTCACATCTGGATTAAAAGTTCACTTTCCACTGAGGCTTGTCCTGGTCATTTCCGGTAAAATTTAACCCCTGCCTCTCCCCAGATCATGCCCCCTCTGTACCTTGTAATTTTCCTTTTGCCATTATTCTGTCTCATATACTCTATGTTATACACATCTATCTTGTCTCCAGTCTTTTCCCTGCACAGAATTTAAGCTAGATGAGGACAGGGATCTGTTCTCCACCCTATTTCCAAAGTGTAGAACAGTACCCAGAGGATAAAGGGAACTCAACAAATATTTGTGGAAGGGAGGCAGGGAGGGAAGGAGGAAGAGAAAGAGGTTATGTGCACATCAGAATGCCTGGCTAATCTTAGCGTAAATCCCTAAAGTTTGCTGGGAATTTCTGTTCCATTGTTTAAGTTTTGATACGTATTTCTGAACTACCAGCCCCCATAAGAAAATGTAAAAAGACAAACCACCCTCAGCAGGGGCAAACCAGTTCACACCGTCTCCCTGGGGCTCTCCCTCTATGCCTTCTCCACCCCTGCTTTCCGTTTTGTTCATGCACGTCCAATGATCAACGAAAACAGTCTGATTGTTTTAACGTGAATTTCTCTGGTCACGAATTTAACTTTTTCTAGCCTTGTTAGGCATTTATGTTTCTCCGCATGCCGCACACGTGCTCTGCCTGTCCTTGGGCACATTTTGCAAGAACTCCTGATGAAGTTGTACAACAGAACCAGGAACACCCCCACCGGGGCTCCCAAGCAGCGTGGCTCCAGGTCAAGTCCTGCTGCGCTCTCTACAGGGACGTGGTCCTTCTCCACCTGTAAATGGGGATTGTGACAGATTGCCCTCACAGGGTGGGGGGCTGTGACATATGTCGTCTGTGCAGGCAATGACTGGCAGATAGCTCTCCATCGTGTCACAGCTTCATGATATCCTGGCTTTTTATCACGTGCTGCAAATAACTTGTCCCGATTCATCATTGCCCTTTTGACGTTATTTATGGTGTTTGCTTTGGCAACACAAAAGTTGTATGCTCATAGGCAGTCAAATACATTGATCTTTGTTCCATTTTGGTTTCTGAGCTTGCCGTCTTGCTAAGACTTCTTTTGAAACCAACATCATCAGTTAGGACTGCTGATTGTGCAAGTGACAGAAAAGCAAATTCAAAATGGCTTAGACATGAAGGAAACATGGATTCATGTAACAGAGGCGTGCCAGAGAGGGCTGGCTTCAGGTGGGGCTTGATCTAGGGGTTCCAGTTATGTCACCAAGGACTGGGATTGCCCTATCTGCTGTCTTCCACGCTTGGGTTCAATTGTGGGCTCTACCTGAGGTGTCCAGGTGTCCATCCTTATCCAACACCCACGACCAGGAAATGGACTGGGCTGGTGGGCTTACGTACCACCCAACCAGACATCCAGGCTGAGAAAGGAGAGCTCCCCAAGGAAGTCTGGATTTATTATTCCTGGGGTTGGGCGCTACATGCCGAGCACAGAACAGCACAACTGTCACACGCCACCAGAACATCGAGTAGCACGTCCATGACTCCTCCCACGATTTTTAACTTTTTTTTTTTTTTTTTTGTAACTTGGGCAGCTAGAAGTTATTTTGGTAGAAGAAATGGCCTGGTTTATTGTTTTCTAAGTGACCAGGCAGCTGTGATAACACATTTCCCTAACTCTCTGCTGTCTGGAAGCACTGCTGTTCTCGTGAGGTGCTGAAGGTGTGGAGCCGGCTCCAGCTCTCGTGCACCCTGGGGTGGGTGTGTCGAAGTGTTCTCCTTTTCCTGGCTGGCCGCTGCCCACCTCCAGATGTTCTCTTTATAGAATAAGCGCCTAGAGGAAGTGAAGAGAGAAGAAAGGGAGTTACTGGAGGCGCAGACCATCCCTCTGAGGAACTACTTGATGACCTATGTCATGCCAACTCTCATGCAGGGTATGAATGAGTGTTGCAAAGTCAGGCCCGATGACCCTGTTGATTTTCTGGTAAGAGATTTAATTTTTTAAAAAATATGAACTGGGAGGTGGGCATTTGGCACAGAGGTTAAGCTGCTGTTCGGGCCACGTGAGTCCCATATTGGAGTGCCGGGGTTCAAGTCCCAGCTCTGGCCTCCTGCTAATGTGTACCCTGGTGGCTCGAGGGGTTAGGTCCCTGCCACCCATGTGGGAGACCTGGACTGAGCTCCAGTCTCCCGGCTTCAACCTGGCCCAGCCCTGGTTGTTGGGGGGCATTTAGAGAGCAAACCAGCAGACAGAAGGGCTCTCTGTCTCCCTACCTTTCAACTAAAATTTAAATAAATACCTCTTTAAAAATCAAAAAAGAATAAAAATATCAATTAGAAAATAAAATTTGCCTGGATCCTAGGGGTCCAGTTGAGATAGAGAAAACTCGTGTCTGGTTGTTTGGAAAACGGCTTCTAACACATTCATAGCCTAGAGTAAAACTTTATTCATTTGAAAGTAGAAAGCTACATACTTTTATTTTGAACTGTAAACAATAATATAAATGTATAACTAACAATGTCTTCTGAATTATTTACTGACTTTCTTTCTTTCAACTTAGGCAGAATATCTCTTCAAGAAGAATCCCGAAACGCAGTAAAACTTTAAAGATCTTGTACCTTATACCTTTACAGAGCTGGACATCAACTTAACGTCATCATTTCAAAACTGGTTTTCAAAATGTTTTTTCAGTTTTTAGAAAATCCTTTTGTTTCTGTAAGTAAATATCCTATAAAGTAGAATCATTCTTTTTAAAAAAGCAAGCTATGTGGCAGTGAATGACTAGTTGTGGAAAACTGTATTTGGAAGGTAAATTAACGTCTGTGCATAGGTCATGGGAAAATACCAGATTCATATTCATTCCTTAGGTCAGTTCTAAGTATTCTGCCTCTGCACTCTAGTGTTTACAATAATTAAATTTATAGCATGAAGGGAGCCAGACGGTATATTATTCTAACATGTAAGCTAATGGATTTACATGATTTGTTATGGCCCCACCCAATACCATGGTTGTTAAAAATGGAAATAAAATGAAATGGTTTTCACTTGCTGAGTCACAAGAAGTCAGACATTTGTTTCTCAAAGGTTGCTTTTGAGTGAAGGGTCAGAATCGGAGCCAATGAGTCAGAGAGAACTGGAAACTTGGTGACAGAAGGTTTACGTAACAGGATGAGTAATTCCATTTGTGATAATTCGAAATAATCTGAAAGTTTTCAAGAAACTGATTTATAATATAGTCATAAACCATCAAGCCCTATGGTCTTGTCTTGCTCGAAAAATCGCACAGAATTCCTAGAATTACCCTGAATGAGAAATGGGTTTATTTAAGGGCATATATAAAGAGGTGGGAGTGGGGCTGGATGGGCGTTTGGCACTGGTCAGGGTGCTTGCATCCCATGTAGGAATGCACGGGTTCGAGTCCCAGCTCTTCCCCACTTCATCTCCCGCTAATGTGCACCCTGCGAGTCAGCAGCCGGTGAAGGCGCGTACCTGAGCCCCTGCCACCCCATGGGAGACCAGAATTGAGTTCCAGGCTTTGTCCTGGCCCAGCCCCAGCTGCCATGGGCATTTGGGTAGTGGAGCAGCAGACAGAAGATCTCTCTCTCTCTCTGCCTTTCAAAAAAATTAAAATTCAAAAAAGCAATGGTATCTGTCAGTTAATTTCATTCCTTTAAATCATGTAACCTGAATGTAACTGCATTTTGCTTCCGACTGGGGCAGAATATACACAATATAAAGTGTGCCAGCGTGACCGGTTTAAAATGTGCAATTCAGGGCGGTAAGTGCATTCTCCCTCACTAATCAGCTCCAGAAGTTTCCCACCACCCCTAATGGGGAGCCCATATCCACTGAGCAGTCACTCCCGTTTGCTCCCTCCCCGTGGCTCCTAGCAACCACGAAACTGTTTTTGGTTTCTAGAATTTGCCAGATCCCGGATATTTTATATAAATGGAATCACACAATATGTGGTCTTTTGTGTCTGGCTTCTGTCACTTAGCATAACATTTTCGGTTTTTTTTTTTTTTTTTCACATTGTACTGTGTATCAGTACTTCATTCCTTTTTATAGCTAAATAGTGTTCCATTACCTGGATGTACTACACTGTCTTCAATCACTCACTTCTTGATTGGCACGTGGGTTGTTTGCACCTGTTAGCAGCTGACTGGAACTCCCATGAACACAAAAGTACAGGTTCTTATTGGACGCCTGTTAGTAACTCATTTGAGCAGGTGCATGGGATGCCTTCTCATCCTTCCGACACCCTCGCCCGGTCCAGGATACCACGTTGCTCCCCTGGACTAGCGCTGTGGCCCCCTCACGTGGCCGGTGCTTTTCTGGGATGACTCTCAGTGGAGCAGCCACAGCAGCGGCAGTCAGGTCAGCTCCGAGTCCTCCATGGCTTCCTGTCCCCTTTGATGTCAGAAGCAAAGTCCTGGGCCTGTTGAGTCTTGATTCCACCTAACTTCTCACCGTGGCTCTCAAATCACGCCTCACTGCTAACAGCACTGTTCGCGGCCTTTGCTGGGAAATATTCGGCCATGCTCATCCAGGAGGCAACTCAGCCTCACCTCCTGAGAGGGGCCTTCCTGGGACCGTCCTTTCTATGCCTTCCCATTCTGTTCCTTTTCTCTGCTCACCCCAGACACCATTTTACCGTCTGTGTGTTTGTCATCTGTCTTCCCTGCTAGAATGGACGCTCCATGAAGGTCGGGGTTTTTTCTGTAACTGCTAGAGACTAAAAACACACATAGCATGTGGGTGCAAAAAACATTCATAAAGGAATGAATGCGATTTAATTAACATTTGTTGCACATCTCTGTGCTTTTTAAAAGTGTAACTAGTTCAAGTCTCCATTCAGGGAGCTCCATAATCTATTTACTGTTGCGTATGCTGTAATGGGACACTTAACTACCCCTGAGCGTCACCAGGAGGCCACAATCAATGGCATTAGTCTAGGCTAACTCACTGTGGAGTCTGGCCCTCAGCCAGGCAAGTTAGGTAGATAAGACCCTGAACTGCTGACTCGCTTCACTGTTTCCTAAGAGACCTGCAGTGCAGGCTCTGATTGATCAACAGTGAGAACCACAGTGGCCCAGGGGCTGATACTTGGCCCCCACCTCACTGGGACATTCCTCTCTTGGAAGCAGGTTCTTTAAGAAGCCAAGGGATCTGAAGTGCTTGGGAACACAGCACCAGGACAAGGCCCTGGCGCCGGCAGCTTGCTACATCCATCCGAGCCACACCTGCCGGTCCTAACGCCAGTCCTTCCTGGCGGGTGGCACTCTCCCAGGCTTCGTTTGGGCAAGCAGTGGTAACTGTTACCTCTGGGACTCTCTTTGACCTATCCCCTCTTCAGATATGGTGATACAGTCGCTCTTTGCTAGCTGGAGGGCATTTACTCTCTTTAAGGGGCAGTTTTTCACATGTCTGGTTTGAGCCTTAAAAATGATTTTACAACAATGCTCTCTGAAAGAAATCTCCCCTCCAGCCCCAAAATATGAGCAGACCAGTCTGTCGCTGCTGTGTATCCTCTCCAGTCACTATATACTTTTTTTTAAAGATTAATTTTTTGTTTTTTTGAGAGGTAGAGTTACAGACAGAGTGAGCGAGAGATAGAGAAAGGTCTTCTATCCTCTGATGGGATGGAATGGCTGGAGCCAGGAGCTTCTTCCGGTCTCCCACATGGGTGCAGGGTCCCAAGGACTTGGGCCATCTTCTGCTACTTTCCCAGGCCATAGCAGAGAGCTGGATTGGAAGAGGAGCAGCCGGGACTTGAACTGGTGCCCATAAGGGATGCCAGTGTTGCAGGCGTCAGCTTTACTCACTATGCTATAGCGTAGGCCCCTCAGCTATGTTTTCTGTAGGCATATTCCTATATTCAGAGTTGATATCATTTACAATAAAATAGCTATTCATTATCTAAGGAAGAGGGGTAAGACCTCTCCACTGAAAATGAGAAAACATTGCTGACAGTAACTAAACATGAAATCAGCAGAAAAATGGGTAAATGGGGACTGGTATCGTGGAGTGGTGGGAAAAGCTGCCACCCGACAATGGATTGCCACATGGGCGCCAGTTTGTGTCCCAGCTGCTCCACTTCCAATCCAGCTCTCTGCTAATGACCTGGGAAAAGCAGCGGAAGATGGTCCAAGTAGTTGGGCCTGTCACCCTTGTGGGAGACCTGGAAGAAGCTCCTGGCTCCTTACTTCAGCTTGGCCCAGCCCCAGTTGTGGCCATCTGGGGAGTAAACCAGGAGATGGAAGATCTTCCTCTATGTTTCCCTCACTCTCTGTATCTCTTTCAAATAAATAAAATAAATCTTAAAAAAAAAAATGGGAGAATGGCAGTTGGTGTTGTGGTGTAGCTGATTGAGCCACTGCCTGTGACACTGGCACCCATGTGAGCCAGGTTCAAGTCCTGGCAGCTCCACTTCAGATCTAGCTCCCTCATAATGAGCTTGGGAAAGCAGATAAAAATAGCCTGAGTGCTTGAGACCCTGCTACCCATGTCAGTGACCCAGGTGGAGTTCTTAGCTCCTGGTTTTTGCCTGGCCCAGCCCCAGCAGTTGTGGCCATCTGGGGAGTGAACCAGCAAATGGTGGCTGGCTCTCCTGCCTAATAAATAAATAAATAACTTTTTTAAAGAATAATTGGGGAATGGAGGGATAAACCATGTTTTAATGATTTATGAAGCTCAATATTATTAATGCTTCAATTTCCCCACAAATGATCTGCAGAGTCAATCGAATTCCAAACTCCAGAGTCATCTCTCTCTCCTTCTCTCTCTCTCTCTCTCCTTCCTTTTGGGGTAGACATTGATAATCTGCTTCCGGTCCCAAACGTGTTAACGTGAATACCCAACTCATCACTCATTTGTGCAACCTGCGGTGAAGTGGTTGCTGGGTGTATGTAAGGGGCGAGGGACTCCCAGAACGGAAATGGGATTTCAAGGCAGGATCAGGGTTTGTAATCTCTTTCCTCAGCTCCTGAAGCATATTTCTAACCACCTGGGATATGTTTCTGAAGGTTCCCAGGCACTTCCAAAACAGCACATATCAAACGACACTCCTGCTGTCATCCACCGGGCCAGGTATTTGTTTCCCGTTTCATTTACGAGTTGGTAGCTCCATCCACTCGAGTCACCATCCCCAGAAACTTTGACATCACCTTTGCCTTCCTGTCCATCATCTCTCCCATCCCAGAGTGACTGTGCCTCCTACACCTCTCTCTGGTGGTCCCTTCGTCACTTCCTCATTTCAAGCTTCATCATCTCGCCTGGGCTAAGGGACCAAGGGCCTCACCATCTACCAGCTTCAAAACCACTTCCCAGTCCAAATCCATCCCATACCCTGGAAAGTGACCTTTGCAAAAACCCAAGTGTGACCTCACCCCCTCCGCCTTACCCTTTCCCATGACTGCAGTGCAAAGATGGAATCTAAAGCAGTCTTTCAGGGTGGCTTCAGGTCTCAGCTCAAAGGGCAACTCCTCTGAGGCTTGTTTTGTCTGACCACCCTGTCTACACCTGGCCTCCACCGGCTTATTGTTTTCTGGGCTCTTATCACAATCTGTTTATTAGTTTATGGATTTATTGTCTGCCTCTGCCTCCTTTTGCAGGGCCTGTGTGGGTGAGGGTTCTTATTTTTCATAGTGGAAAGTAATCCGACCCCCAGCCCCCCACCCCCGTCCAATGACCAGCTGTTGAATGCAGGCCTCTTATCTTCTGCCTCACCCACGACTATTTCCACCACTCCCCACCATGGTTTTATCTTGTGGTCTCCTCACTTCCAGAGTCTCCCTCTCTCAGCATAAACTTTAAATTATTGGCACATTTAAAAAAAATCACCTGTACCTGATATGCCCTTGACCTGTCCATTTACTAAACCCTAACTTTTTTTTTTTTTTTTTTTTTTTTTTACAGGCAGAGTGGACAGTGAGAGAGAGAGAGACAGAGAGAAAGGTCTTCCTTTGCCGTTGGTTCTCTCTCCAATGGCTGCTGCGGCCGGCGCACCGTGCTGATCTGATGGCAGGAGCCAGGTGCTTTTCCTGGTCTCCCATGGGGTGCAGGGCCCAAGCACTTGGGCCATCCTCCACTGCACTCCTGGGCCACAGCAGAGAGCTGGCCTGGAAGAGGGGCAACCGGGACAGAATCCGGCGCCCCGACCGGGACTAGAACCCGGTGTGCCGGCGCCACAAGGCGGAGGATTAGCCTAGTGAGCCGCGGCGCCGGCCTAAACCTTAACTTTCTTTTTATTTATTTTTATTTTTTAAATTTTTTTTTAACTTTTATTTAATGAATATAAATTTCCAAAGTACGATTTATGGATTACAATGGCTTCCCCCCCATACCGTCCCTCCCACCCACAACCCTCCCCTTTCCCACTCCCTCTCCCCTTCCATTCACATCAAGATTCATTTTCGATTATCTTAATATACAGAAGATCAGCTTAGTATACATTAAGTAGGATTTCAACAGTTTGCTCCCACACAGAAACATAAAGTGAAAAATAATAGATGATTTTTTTTAAATGATGATGAAATCAGATCAGAATATTGTCATGTTTAATCCCAGTGAGAGTCAAGTTGGGAGTTGATAATTTCTTTTTTTTTTTTTTTTTTTTTACAGAGGATCAGTTTAGTATGCATTAAGTAAAGATTTCAACAGTTTGCACCCCCATAGAAACACAAAGTGAAATATATTGTTTGAGTACTCGTTATAGCATTAAATCTCAATGTACAGCACATTAAGGACAGAGATCCTACATGGGGAGTAAGTGCACAGTGACTCCTGTTGTTGACTTTACCAATTGACACTCCTGTCTATGGCATCAGTAATCTCCCTGTGCTCCAGTCATGAGTTTCCAAGGCTATGGAAGCCCTCTGAGTTCTCCGATTCTTATCTTGTTTAGACAAGGTCATAGTCAAAGTGGAGGTTCTCTCCTCCCTTCAGAGAAAGGTACCTCCTTCTTTGAAGACCTGTTCTTTCCACTGGGATCTCACTCACAGAGATCTTTTGCCAGAGTGTCTTGGCTTTCCATGCCTGAAATACTCTCATGGGCTTTTCAGCCAGATCCGAATGCCTTTAGGGCTGATTCTGAGGCCAGAGTGCTATTTAGGACATCTGCCATTCTATGAGTCTGCTGAGTATCTCACTTCCCATGTTGGATCACTCTCCCCTTTATTTATTCCATCGGTTAGTGTTAGCAGGTACTAGACTTGTTTATGTGCTCCCTTTGACTCTTAGTCCTTTCATTACGATCAGTTGTGAACTGAAATTGATCACTTGGAATAGTGAGATGGCATTGGTACATGCCACCTTGATGGGATTGAATTGGAATCCCCTGGTATGTTTCTAACTCTACCATTTGGGGCAAGTCAGCTTGAGCATGTCCCAAATTATACATCTCTTCCCTCTCTTATTCCCACTCTTATGTTTAACAGGGATCACATTTCAGTTAATTTTCAACACTTAAGAATAACTGTGTATTAATTACAGAATTAAACCAGTCATATTAAGTAGAACAGACAAAAAAACTACTAAGAGGGATAATGTATTAAGTTGTTCATTAACAGTCAGGGCTAAACCTTAACTTTCTAACAGGACACATCTCAAGCCACCTCTTACATGAAGTCTACCTTGACCGCATCTGCAAATACACTGTAGTTCCTTTTAAGTGCTTTCAGCAAGTAGCATGATGCCACCCAGAATTCTGTGTATCATATAAATGCTCCTCACTATGCCGTCCAGCTGTCTCACCCTATGGAGGGCAGAGATAAAGAAGGGATGGAGAAACTAGAGACTGAAAGCTTGGAGCTTCACTGTCCATCTCTTCATCACTGCCTTCTCACATGCCCGACACAGGCATGGACTGGGAAATCATCATTCTTTAATTTGTAAATTTCATCATCAGTGCAAATCTTTATAAGTTTTCTTTTGAAAATGTCATGTAAAAATGGCTTTCTCTGTCTCTCTAAAGATTTATTTAATTATTTGAAAGGCAGAATTAGAGAAAGAAGGAGGTGGGGGGGAGAGAGAGAGAGAGAGAGAGAGAGAAAGGTCTTCCATCAGCTACTTTGCTCTCCAAATGGCCACAAGGGTTGAAGCTGGGCCACTCTGAAGCCAACAGCCAGGATCCTCCTCCTGGTCTCCTACGTGTGTGCAGGGGCCTAAGAGCTTGGGCCATCTTCCACTGCTTTTCCAGACACATTAGCAGGGAGCTGGTTCGGAAGTGGAGCAGCCGAGGCTCAAACCCAAGCCCACATGGGATGCCGACGCTACAGGCGGCAGCTTTACCTGCTACACCACAGCGCCAGTCCCCATGAGTAAATGGGATGGGTGTTGTCCCTGCCCCCATGGGAGATCAGGATAAGTACCTGGCTCCTGCCATCGGATCAGCACGGTGCACTGCAGCGTGCCAGCCGTGGCGGCCATTGGAGGGTGAACCAATGGCAAAGGAAGACCTTTCTCTCTGTCTCTCTCTCTCACTGTCCACTCTGCCTGTCAAAATAAAGAAAAAAGATACTGCTTGGGAAACCACACCCCATATTGGAGAGCCTGGGCTTGAGCCTCAGCTCCACTTCCCATATCAGTTTCTTGCTGATGCACGCGCTGGCTGAAGTCCTTGAATCGCTGCCAAGCACGTGGGAGACCCAGGTGGAGTTCAGCCTGGCCCAGCCCTGACTGTTGCAGACATGGAGGGAATGAACCAGCAGTTGGGAGTGCTCTTTCGGTCTCTCTGCCTCTCAGATAAAAATTTAAAAAAAAATTCCACACTCGATGCGATATCGATTTCTCTGAATCCCAGGTTTGCTGCAACCTTCTGAAGATGCCCTTGTTTCCAGGGTCCCAGGAGCCTCGGCGGCAAAAGGATCAGGGACCAAGGGGACCACCGGGGCGTCACACCGGGGTCTTCCGGATCTTGGCGCGAATAGAAACGATGCTGTATACTACAGCTTCATGTAGAAAGACGAAAAGCGGGTGAAATTATTTTATTAATACGCTTTCTTTGATGCGTAACAGAAGCAGGATTTCCACACAGAATTTACAGATTTCGTGCTTTTTTGGTGCGAGGAGCTCGGGACTCCGCGTGTCCCGCGCCCACAGCCCGTCTGACGCTCGCGGCCCTATGGGGGCTTTATTTTTCTCTGAGTTCCTTTTCCTCCGGCCAGGTGTTGGACTCGCCTCATTTCCAGGCTGGGTGGCCACCGGCGGCCACGGCTCTCACCTCGGGGCTGCGCACACGCTCGCGCTTCGCCCCGCGCCCTTGAACTCGGGAAAGCCCCGGCGCGACCCCCGAGCCCCGGCCCCGGCCCCGCGGGCGGCTTCCCCGCATTCGTCCGGCCCCCGCCCCCACGGCCTTCCGCGCCGCACTTAGAACTCGGGGCGCGTTCTGATTCCGAGAGGAGGGGGCGTCCGAGGCGCGGCCCCAGGCTCGCTCTCCGACTCTTTACCGCGGGGCTGGGGCCACAGCCCGGGGAAGCTATGACTCGCACGGCCCTGCCGAGAGCCCCCCGGGCCGCCGCCGCCCCGACTGTCACAGGGCAGAATTAGCTCGCGTTCCAGACCCCCTGGCCCCCCAGGCCCACCCTGGTGCGGGCCCCCGGGATGCGGGAGCGGACGAACCCGACAAAAGCTCGGGCTCGGCGCGCCCGGGCAGCCGGGCGTTGTGCTAACGTTTTTCGCGCCTCGGAGCCGGGCTCGCTCGCGCCCCGTCACGGGACAGTCGCCACACCCTTCAGGTAGGCGTCCCTCCTACCGAGCCGGAAACTAGAAAAGCGGCCCGAGGAACTTGTGCGAACCCGGGCCGCGCAAGGTGCACGGCGAGCGCCTCAGCCTCCGGGACGCGCCGCCCCGGAGACGCCCTCGGGAGCCGAGCGGCCGCTGCAACCGCGGGCAGAGACGAAGGCGGAACCTCCCCCGAGCCGTCTCCTGCCGCCCGCCGCCCAGGGCCTGCCCGATCGCGCCCACCCACCCACCACCCCGCACCCGCCGCCCGGAAAGCGAGAGGGACCCGCCAGGCATCCCGGGGCTGCCGCCGATCCCGCGAACTACACTTCCCGTGAGGCCTCGCGGCGCCGGGTCGGGCTGCTGCGCAGGCGCGCGCCGGCGTGCGTGGCGGCGTCAGCGGTTCTAGAACGTTGCTGTGGTAGCGCTCGGGCGCCATGTTAGGACGAAGGGGAAGGAGGAGAAGCGCTTAAAGCGGCGGGAGCGGGTGCGGGAGTGGGGTTGGACCCAGGGCTGAGGCAGGCCCCCCCTCCCTCCCGCCTCAGTGGATCATGCCCAGGGCGGCAGCGGCGGCGGTTGCGGGGGGGAAGTGACTGGGCGGTGCCGGCGCAGGAGACGATGCCGTTGTAAGTGATTTGTGTTCTGTTTTCTCTCGCACGCCGGCTGGGCCTCGGGGGCGTCGGGGGAGCGGGAAGCGGGTGGCGCGCGAGCCGGACGCCGGCCCCGTGGGAAGGCGGGCGGGACCGAGGCCCTTCCTGTGAGCTCGGCCGCTCGCCGCCGCACTTCCCGGCTCGCTCGCTCCTCGGGCCCCTCGCTCGTGCCCGGCTGGGTCTGCAGCCGTCGGGCCGGGGGCCTCCCCCTTCCGGGAGAGCCGGAGGCGCCCCTGGCCCGATCACTCCCGCTTCTCCGCCGGGGCCGGGGGTTTGGGATGGGGGGGGGGACCCAAACAAAACAATGCCCGGCGGCGGGGACCGGGCGGCCCAGCTCTCAGGGTCTGCACCGGGTTCGGGTCCGCCTCCGCCTGGCCCCTGTGGTCCCGTCTTCAGGCTGTGCAGAGCGTGCGCCCGAGTTCCCCTGGCCCGTTCGGCGTGTCCGCGAGTTACAGGCCCGCTGCCCGGGCCCGCACGGCCGCCGCCGGCCTCCCGCGCCGCCAGGCCCGCCCCCGACACGCGTGTGCGCGGCGGTGCTCCCGCGTGCCGGCCTCCGGGGGGGAGCCGGCTCGCCTGCCGCTCCCTCCTCCGGCCTTTTGTTTTGGGTTTCTGGCCGAAGCCCTGAAGCCGGCCCGTCCTGCCTCCGGATCCCACCAGGCCTGCGTCTTAGGGCCTCTGCCCCTGGGGAGGCTGTTGGGAAAGTTTTCTCTCCCTGCCCTCCTGCTCCGAGTGAGGCGCAGCTGGGGCGCCCGCTGTTAGATCGGGGCGAGGCTGGCTTTTCCCGGGGGGCCCAGCCGGTGGAACTCTTAGATCTTGGAGCAGAGAGGCCTCGCGAGTGCCCCGTGGACGCGGGGGCCGGCCGCGCCGCCCCTTTGTGGCGCTGGGCAGGTATGCAGTTTAGACTCAAAGTTGCGCTCCAGGTGACCCCAAGATGCGGGTTTCAGGGTCCCAGCCTCTCGTGCAGCGCTCAGATTGAGTGTCTTTTTGAAGGCTTCCGCAGACCGCGCACTCGTGGTTTCGCGATTTGTCTGTGTCCACGTGTGTGTCTGCTAACAGGTGAGAGCCTGACTGGTGAGACCCTCGAGCCGGCCGGTGCGCTTTGCAGTTTGAAAGGCTGCTTGAGGGCGCTCCTCAGACGCCAGCCCCCTCAGCTGCTGCTGTCCCAGGGCAACAGGGCTGCCGCGTCGGGGTTTCTGCGACGGGAACGGTGGTTAGGCTTCACTGCAGCGTGTGGACCTGAAGTCGTAGGATTCGCAAGGCGCTTCTAAGTGAGTCATCTCCCGTGGAATGTTGAAAAGAGGGCTAGGATAACTTAGTTTGAACAAGAATTTTGGGACATTTTCAGTACATGTTGCAGCGGTGTTGTGGTCACGTTGTGTTAGCTCATATTTTATTGCTGTTTTTAGAGACTTCTTCTGATAATGATGTCAGTATTGAAAGTGATAGGAAATGTACACCTTAAAGAAAAGTCTCAACTGAAGAAATACCATAGGTAATTCGTGTCTTATTTTTAGGACCTAAAAGTTCCTCTGTTCCTCCTTTTGCCTCCATTCTTCGAGAAAGGAAGGTATAATATGCATTAAAGACCTTAATTTCTTCACATGTCTTTGTTCAAATGAAAAAATGGAAGAGTCAAGCCGGCGCCGTGGCTCAATAGGCTAATCCTCCACCTTGCGGCGCCGGCAAACCGGGTTCTAGTCCCGGTTGGGGCGCCGGATTCTGTCCCAGTTGCCCCTCTTCCAGGCCAGCTCTCTGCTATGGCCAGGGAGTGCAGTGGAGGATGGCCCAGGTGCTTGGGCCCTGCACCCCATGGGAGACCAGGAAAAGCACCTGGCTCCTGGCTCCTGCCAGGATCAGCGCGGTGCGCCGGCTGCAGCGGCGGCCATTGGAGGGTGAACCAGCGGCAAAGGAAGACCTTTCTCTCTCTGTCTCTCTCTCTCACTGTCCACTCTCCAACTTCTGCCCTGTCCGAAAAAAAAAAAAAAAAAAAAAAAAAAAATGGAAGAGTCAGGATGGCCAATTTGTACATAGATAGTTCCTTTACACTGTGTTTCTTGAAATTTGAACTCTGGCCAGTTTTTCATTAGCTATTCCTTTCATTTTAGCTAAGTATACTGTAGTTCTTCTCTAGTAAATAGATCAGAGATTTCCTAGTTGATGAAAATAGCTTTCTTTCTCATTAATTTACTTGGTTTTTCATGTTCTGGAATTGCACTGTCTTTGATTTTGTTTCTCTGATGTGTTGAGTTGTGACTTCCTAGCTGTATTGTGCTTACTTCTGTAAGCCCGTGCTGCCATTGGTGTAGGTGGACGTGCAGGACTGGGGCGTGGACCATAGGTGGATATCAGAGGGGGCTGAATCAGTTACTTCCCAGTCACTTCAACAGCTTCCTGTGAATGTGCATGAATGCTAGGTCATGGATGCTGACTTCTCTCTTAATGCCTTTCTTTCTTTTTTTAAGTCTTTCTCATCTACTTGAAAGGCAGAGTGATGGACGGTGGGAGAGATCTTCCATCTGCTGGTTCGCTTTCTAAGTGCCTCCAGCAGCCGGGCTTGGCCTGGGCAGAAGCCAGGAGCCTAGAGCTCAGTCTGCGTCTCCCACCTTGGTGGCGGGGAGCTGGCTGGGAAGTGGGGTAGCTGGGACGCAAGCTGGCCCAGGTGTGGGACCTGTGTGCCCCAGCCTAGAGGACAGAGGCCTGCTGCAGCACAAGGCCCACCCCTCCTCTGTGTCTTTTATTATAGGGGTGCTAGAACTCAGCTGATGCAAGTGAGGATCTGACCAGAACAGATATGTCGGAACTAGGAATACAGTTTCCTTAAGAGTAGATTAAATAAAAACCATTACAGTTAGGTCATTACAAAACGTTGCGATCAAGTGGCCATATTTTGTCCAAACCTAATAGGTAAGTATTCACCTGGTTTTTTTTTTTTTTTTAATATTTATTTTATTTATTTGAAAGACAAAGTTACACAGAGAGAGATTTTCCATCTGTTAGTTCACTCCCCAAATGGCCACAACTGCTGAAGCTGAGCGGATCTGAAGCCAGGAGTTTCTTCTGGGTCTCCTGAGTACATTACCAGGGAGCTGGATGGGAAGTGGAGCAGCCAGGACTCAAACCAGTGCCCATATGGGATGCTGGTGCTGCAGGCCAGGACTTTAACCCACTGTGCTACAGCGCTGGCCTCATTACCTAATTTTATTTTTTTTTAAATAGATATATTTACTATTTATATTTACTTCTTCTGGGTCTCCCACATGAGTGCAGAGGCCTAAGGACTTGGGCCATCTTCTACTGCTTTCTCAGGCCATACCAGAGAGCTGGATTGGAAGTGGAGCAGTCAGAACTTGAACCGGCATCCATATGGATGCTGGACCTGCAGGTGGCAGCTTATCCCACTGTGCTGTAGTGCTGGCTCAGTATACAGTTTTAAAGACAAAGCCTTGGTAAAGCATTAGAAAATAATTTTATTAAATCTTGATCCTTCTTTGTCTTGTTTTTAAAGGTTTATTTATTTATTTGAAAGGCAGACACACACACACACACACACACAGATCTTTTGTTAACTGGTTCACTCCCCAAATGGCTGCTACAGCTAGGTCTGGACCAGGCCAAGCCACAAGCCAGGAACTCTACTATACGGGTAGCAGGGGCCCAGTTACTTGGGCCGCCTTCTGCCTTCCCAGGTGCATTAGCAGGGAGTTGGCTGGAACTGGAATAGCTGGGACTGGCACTCTGATACGCGATGCCTTAATCCTGTGTGCCACAACACTGCAGGGTTTGTCTTTTTAATATGCTGTGATAGTGGAAAATAGAATTATTTTGAGAAGAGCATTTGGATAGCTAAAATGGTGCTTTTTTCATTTGCATCTAAAAGAATTTGTTTTTTTAAATCATAAAATACTGGAGGCAGCCTAACTGTATTAAAGGAGAAGTTTTGTTTGAGCGCATGGTTTTGGAGAATCACAGTTGAAGGACCAGCAGCTCCTGGCGGCGGTCTTGTTGATGGCAGGGCCCAGGTGTTGCAGTGCATCACACAGAAACACAGCGCGTAGGCGGTGCAGCGCGTCACCTAGAAACATGGACACCGGAGCTTGTCTGTGTGGTCTCTTGTCAAGCAAGAAGGATTTCATCATGGAGGCTCCACTCTAACCTCCAGATGCCACAATTAGAACCATCAGCGTAAGATTTTGGGGACCAAACCTTTAAGACATGGGCCTTTGAGGGATAGTCAGCATACAAATTAATATCCAAACCGTAGTGATGAACTATAAGTATTTGTACTTGAGGGTTCAGACATTTACTTGAGAATGAAGTGAGCCTGTCAGTTTAAAGAAAGTAACTGCTAATATTTGCAGCCAGTG